AGTTAGACATGGGTTTATTATTATTTTTTTAAATTGAAAATGGGGGGGGGGGTGTTAAACTTGCGTGGCTTGTGAGGGATGCAACTCACCATCTTCTCATGCAAGAGGATTATTTCATCATCAAGAAAATGCACCAAGTGCATATACAATTTCCACATGCGAGAGACTAACTAATACTCCTAACCATAGGGTAGTATCATATTACTTACGCCCTCCGTACTATTATAAGAACTCGTTTGATTATGATTTTGGTTTTAAATATAACACTCCAATCTATTGTCTTTCGTATTTATTTATTTTTTTAAAAAAAACAGTCATTGTAATAATGGTAGTTTTAACTAATACGCTTAATTAGTAATGATATTTAGAAAAACAACATCTATTTATTATAAATAACTAACTTAACTAGTTTTATTAATCTACTTAAATTAGTCAATTAGCTTTTATAGTAAAAATTAGAAGTAGTAATGATAAATGTCTGCATCTACGTTATTACTTGGCGATGGGAAGTCTTGGCGGACGTTTATATATTTTGCGCATACTAATCGACCAACATTAATTTGAACTCCTCGTGTACGCTGACTCAAAGCCCCTGTAGATCACCGTCGTGAAAATTTCCGAATAGATATTGTTGAAATTTCATGGAGAAATGTCAGGTGGCAAAGAAAGTCGCGGACTGATAGATCATAAAATGTAATCTCCGTGTTTTATATATTTATATAGCTTAAACAACATAATTCTCCTCTCATTCTTAATGTAGGGTCTGATTATTGAGTTAACAAGCTTATGTTTTCATATCTATCATTTTTTTAAAATTATTTTTATTGATACTAACTCAATTATAATTAAGTAATAGATGGAAGGAAAATATTAAAGAACATGATTATGGTATTTTAGAAAAAACAAGTTACAGTTTTTATAATTAACTAACTTATCTAATTTTTTAATCCAGTCAAATTAATTAAATTAATTTTACATTAAGAACCAAATGAGTATTAATTAACCATTGCCTATACACGAGTTAGCTGGGAGTTGAGTTTTATTCTAACTATAACAACTCAATTTATTTGTTTCTCATATTTATATTTTCTTTTATTAAACTATTTTATTAATTGCATATGTTAAGAAAAATTTGTAAATTATTGCAGGATACATAATTTACAATAACATAAAATAAGCTAGTACAATTATTATGAGAAGGAAAGAGATAGAAAAAAAGAAGATGGCGTGTTGATGGATAATATTGGTTTCCAAATTCTTGCAAGTGCTCGTTTAGACCTGCCATTGTAAGTGTTTATATAATTACGTTTTATATAAAATAAAATATTTTTTTTTACATACTTATCTCATATTTTATAAATTATAATTAAACAAGTGTAAGAGTAGTTGAATAATAATAACAATTATTACTATTTATATCAACTTTTTTCGATATTTTGACGTGGCCGCCGAAGAGCGAGGAGGTCAGACGTGGCAGACAACGTGGGCCTAGGTGATCACCTCTCCGCGTTCAAACCGCGTAAGGAATCAACGTGTCCATTTGGCATCAGAGGATAATATCAATCATCTAATAAAATATAAAATGAAAAAAAAAAAAAGAATAATGATTTTTGCCGGAAGAGACCATATAGGTGGGATGGCTGGGTGGACTTTGAAGGGTTGTATTACGGTGTCTTGGAACAGGCTGCGTATCAACCGCAGGTCCCCATCTCTAAATTGGCCAAAAGGTTGTACGACCGCTTCTTAATACAAAAGTTTATTTAACTTTTAATATAATTTTAAATATAAGATTTAATTTATTTTATCTTTTATATTTATTTATTTTTAAAATTTTTTATAATAGTTGTCCATCTTAAATATTTTATCAAATGACACTTGATTATTAAAGGTATTTTAAAGAATATAATATATATATTTATTACAAGCAACTAACTTAATTAATTTTTTTAATCTACTCAAATTAATTTCGTTCTTATATTAAAGACCGGAAGTGGTATTATATATATTTTATATTATCATTTATGCTAATAAAATCAATCACAAAATTAAATTATCTGATTATTTACTAAGCATTATGCACATAACAGGATTTCCTTTATTGATCATTTGTTGAAATTTAAAACTATAACATGCATTTGCATTGAGATTAACTAATCAATAGAGACCGTTAACATAAAATATATAGTTCACCCAAAAAATATATTAGATAAAAATTATGAGGGAAGGTTGGGTTAATAAGTTTCATAAAAGTACCAGCATAAATTTGAATGATATGAACGAAATTATTTAAGTATAAATACAAAAAGTTATTTATACAAAAATTCTGGTAAAAAATAAATTTATACAAATGAATTGTTTATTTTTGATAATTAATAATATTATGAACATATGCATGTACGATAATTCTCAATATCGCAACTTTATTGTACACATCCAACTTTTTTGTATTTTCATTTTCACAAATATCTTTTAGTCATTAAAAAACAAATCTCACCACTTTTTTCTTAATAAAAGGATAATTTTAGTTGGAGGAAGTAAAATAACACATAAAAGTGAAAAAGCTAAAAGCTTTTGCTCTAGTTATTTATAGATAATTCAATGACTTCATATAGGTTATATGCAGTTAAAAAATTTTTTTAAAAAAATATAGAAGTCACTATGAAGTTTATACTCCTCCAGTCCCAAAAAATAAATTTTTTTAGTATAATTTACACTATAAAAAAGTTTTGTATTTAGGACTGGAGAATATTTCATACAAAAATCATTAGATTGAAATATAATATTTTTTCCGGTGTGTCGAAAAAAAGATTGAAATATAATATAATATAATTAAAAGTAAAATAAAATTTAATTGGAACCCACTGTATTTATTTTAGACAAATAAAGTCATTAATTAAAATAAATTTTTTAAGTAACGTATAAATATTGTCTTATAAGACTCAAATCACCTCAATTTTGGTCAAAAATTTATTTATTTTAAAATTATTAAAAGAATATAATAAATATTTTTTCAGTTCTAGATATAAAACTCATTTTATAGTATAAATATAAAATTTATTTTATAATTTATAATATAATTTATACTGTAAAATAAATTTTATATTTAAAACCGAAGAGAGTATATTAATATTTTGGGTTAACAAGCTATTCTCGTGACGACGCATCCGTCACGAACAGGTCTCGCGGAGGACTTTCTCTGCCTATATATTAACCGCGTTTCATGGGGGCAACAAAATATTAACCGTGTCCGTGTTTCATTAGTCTAAAAAACAAACAAACAAACCGTGTTTCAGCTATTTTCGGGGAAATAGTAGGGGGATTCAGGTGCGGTAAGTTTCACATACACTTGGTTGGCAAAAAAAAAAAAAGTTTCACATGCGGTTGTGATGCGACTACGGTAGGCCGTACAATATCTGGACTCTCTTTGGGCTGACACGTGTCGAGTTCTCTGAAGAAAACGCGGCAGGCGATTCAATTGCCCCTCTCCAGTGGATCATCCGCGGACCTTATCTTTTTTTAAATGCATTCAATGCTTTGATTTTTTATATGATATATTCAACATTTCAATGTTATTTTTAGAACGTTTGGCCCCCCAATTTTATTATTTTAGTTGCATTTGGTATCCAGGATGCTAAATACATAAAAAATAAGATTAGGATGCTGAATGGACGCAATAATAAAATCTAAGTGTTGGATGCACCCTTGACCATACAAAAAATTAAGATGTTACATGCACTTGAAAAATGAAATCAGTGTGTAAGATGCAACTTTACTTTTTAAACTAATTTAAAATTAATCTTATGGTTTCGGTGAAATGTAACATTGTTAGCCTCATGTCCGTCAGAAATGCCTACGAAAAATACTCAAACCAACCCAAAAAGATAAGCAACGACAGTAATAATAATATGCACGGAAACCAAAAAAAATAATAAAGAAAGTCACGATGAAATCTCCTTGTATAAATGTAATGATCAAAGGCTTGTTTGGATGTCTCCTCAAACTATGTTTGGAGACCCAAACCATAGTTTAGGGAAGAAGTCAGCCAAACAGGGAGAAAAAAAAAAATGTGAAACCATGGTTTGGGATAGTGGAAGTAGTTTGAAGTTGCTTATAGCTCAAATTTTCTAGACGTTGGTATGAGCCCAACAGCATATGACAAAGCAGCCCCCATAATTGACGCCTCACTCTTCATTCCACGCTCAGTCTTTCACTATTTAATCTTATAATTTATAAATATATACACATATTAATTATTTATTAATTTTATTAACAATTTTATTTCTTCAAAGCAAAATATATTATAAAATCTATCCCTTATATAATTATCATATTAACTTATGTCTTTTTTTAGTAATTTGTACATGTAAAAAGTGCTTTTAGTAACAACTATCTAAACACTCTAATTTCTCAAAATCATTTTTTTTACAAAACCTATTCTCCAGAAATTACTCTCCAAACCATGGTCTGGTTTCATCCAAACACCCTCAAAAAGTCACCATAAATGAATAGGACTTGTCATTTTCTTATAAGCTGCCAACTTGTTATGAGATATTTTGGTGACTATAATTCTTTTTGGAGACTTTTATTAATCTACTCAAAGTATCACCCAGTTTTTATAAGTAAATTATTTGCATGAAATTTTTTATATTTATCCCTATTAAATGAAGGTTATTAAAAAAATATGCTATACATTTTATCTCACTCTTTTTATTATATTTGGTACGTGTAAAATTATTAAAAAGTGATTAACAACCTTATAAGGTGATTTATTAATATTTATAAACAAACTTTTCTGTGACTTACGGAGGCTGAAACGGAAGAGAAAAATACAGGGAAAAAGGCGGTAAAGAGATAGAGGCCGCGGGCAATTGCGGACAAGGTTAGAGGGCAAAAGGAGAATACGAGTAAAGGTCAACCCGTCTTTCAACCCAAAAAAAAAAAATGTTGAACAGTGAATTATGATTCGATGGCAATAACCGACGAGCTCCTATTAAAACGGCAGTTCCTGTCCGAAGAGAAATTAAAGGGCTCTTGCTTTTGGGTGCCTCGCTCTCTCTTTCTTTCATCGTTAAAACGGACACAGAGTTCTCTTGAAGGAAGTTAGAGCGATTTCTCTTTCAGAGAGGAAGCGAACAATGGCCGATCAGCTCACCGATGAACAGATCGCTGAGTTCAAGGAGGCCTTCAGCTTGTTTGATAAGGATGGCGACGGTTTGTGTCTCTTTCTCTGCTTCGATTTGACCGGTTTTCCTAGATCTATGTGTTCTTCTAGATGTGTTTTTCCAGCTGTTGGTGCTTCTTGTAAGAGAAGATTAACACGATTGTTGAGTTGGAAGAGTTATTTGGCGCTGTTGATTAGAACTGGTTTTGGTTGATTTGAATCTGTGGCTGTTTCATATTTGTATAAATCTAGGTGATATTTTCATTTCCTGATTAGCGGTGATATAATTTCCCCCTTTTACCTGTGCTTGGTTGACGTGAAAATTCCGTGGATGAGAAGAGTGGAGGGTTCAATATTGCCTTTTATTAGGATTATTCTACGTCTTAGTTTTTGATTTGACTGGTATTATAAATTGGCTCTCTTTATTTTCAAAATCTTTCGTTGCCTGAAGGAATATGAGAAAAAATTGCGTGGGTCTTCGCATGTGCAGATTAGTCTGCTTCAGCAAAGAATGGTCGGGTTACATTTTCTCCTCTTTTTTCTTTCGCAACTATACACGTAGTCTAGTCTGGAATGAGTCTCCCACAGCCGACTCTGACAAATGAATATATTATGTTATATCTTATAGATGTTATATTTCACTATATTAATATTCATGTTGATGTGTGATCTGAATAACTTGTAAGCATATATGTAATGGGGCCAGAAAAACAGACTTTGCATGTCTCCCACTTTTGTCGTTCTGTCTTTGGGCAAATATAAACAAGGAAAGAAGCGCGTGGTTCTTGCTTTTAGGTGAAGTGAGAGCGCGTGTTTTTATTGGTCTATGAGAGAGCGCGTGAGTTGGAATATAATATGATTGCGTTACTCTTGGTTTGTGATGTTTTCTGAACCTCCCTAATTTCGCATATTTAAATTGAAGGCCAATACAATGCTAGACCTAGAGGCCTGGAGCCGAACTTCAGGCACTGGCATTTGATTTCTAAAGGGTTGCAACGCTGTTGAACCTGGGCCTAGTAAGGCCTTTCCTTGTTGACGTGAGAAAGTCACAGCTTTGGTTATATCAACTTACCCATGCTCAGCTCTTGTACATAACTTTCAAATGTTACATGGAGAGACATCACTCGTTGTTTTCTTAGTTGCATTTTATTGACATCGATAGTTTGGTATAGTTTGTGAGCATTTTTTTCTGTCTATGATCACAAAAACTAGAGTCTACTGTTGAATGCTCACATAATGTTTCAGGTTGCATTACAACCAAGGAGCTGGGAACTGTTATGCGGTCATTGGGGCAGAACCCAACTGAAGCAGAGCTTCAAGACATGATTAATGAAGTAGATGCTGATGGTAATGGTACCATTGACTTCCCTGAATTTCTAAACCTTATGGCCCGAAAGATGAAGGATACTGATTCTGAGGAGGAGCTGAAAGAGGCATTCCGAGTTTTTGACAAGGATCAGAACGGGTTCATTTCTGCTGCTGAGCTCCGCCATGTGATGACCAACCTTGGAGAGAAGCTTACTGATGAAGAAGTTGATGAGATGATTCGTGAGGCCGATGTTGATGGTGATGGCCAAATCAACTATGAGGAGTTCGTTAAGGTGATGATGGCCAAGTGACCATTTCATTCTCCTAGAAGCTATATTTATGAAAAGAACCAAAACGCTCGAGATATATAACATGGAAAAATTTGTATGCAGTTCTTTTATATCCTTGTCAGATTCTTCAATTAAAATATGATCAGTGTGTACGGGTTTTCAAGAATAATATGCCAGGATATGGTTCATACAAAAGTGTATGATTCTCCAGTTGATCATACATCTGTCATGTTATTACTTCAAAGTCATGCACTTGACATATCTTAATCAAGGAATTTGGTAGCAAGGACATAAGAAATTTAAGTCTTACCCACATAATATTTAGTACCCTAGTTCCCCTCGACCTTTCCCCCCTTCTTTTTTTAATGTTTATCAATTTGATGTTTTTAAATCCAACCCTTGCAACATATATCTGTAAGATTAGCTGTCGATTATGATATTGCGTCCTTCTAGTTTGCCTAGTCATTGTCTCCCAGGTTTTAATGGTTATTTCACTCCATTTTACCCTACTCATCATTTTTTTTTTTAAAATTCAATATTCTAAGTTTGAACGAGCAGATCTTCTGAATTCTGTCTGCTGCGGCTGAAATTTTGATATCCAAACTCGTGGAAAATTTTGTGCAGAAGAAAAAACTCTAGGAAATTTTTTAGGGCCGTTGCTCTTGAAATTATTGACATTGCAGCACAATACGAAAATGGAGTTAGCCATGTGTATTGTGCAATATGTTGGATCATTGCACGTGTTTGCATTTCCTCAGGGACTAATATTTGGAGTGATCCTTCAATAACTCTTATTATTGCTGCTGCTCATGAAGCACGTCTCAGCCAATGTTACAGATCTCGTCCTTTTTATTATTGGTGGTCTCTGCCCTTAGTGGTTTTTGGAAGTTATATTAAGCGCAGGGTAATTTGAATTGAGTTGAATATAATTGATAATGCGAGTATAAAACTTTTGGTTTCCATTCACAATATTTTTCTACTCTAGATTTATTTTCAAAGCCAAACAATCAATGATTTTTTGTTGGCCAAAAAACAATCAGTGAATCAGCTGCACCAATTGTTATTAGTATGGATGCTTCTCGCACCTTGCCCTTTGACAGTTGATTATTGGAGATTATATCTTTAATATTGTATATAAATATACATAGAGGGAAAGATTTGAAGAGTTAGAGTTAAATAGAATCTGGCCAAAAAAAAGTTTGGGAGAAAAAATGCAAACAAAATTTTAAATTTACTTGTGTTCCCAATCTTTGTTGTTCTTTTTTATTATTATAGAGCAATACTATTATAAAATTTTAAGTTTACTTGACCGGCCATGACTGCTAAGGGATATATTTGGTCCTCTAAAGCTACGAAGAAACCTTCATTAGGGAAAATTATCACGAGCAAGATATATCTGACTATGTTTTGAATTGAAAAAAAAGATAAAAAGTTAGTTAAAATATTTTAAGCTTACATTTAGTTTCTTTTTATTTTTCTTTGTTTTTTTTTTAAGTATGCTCCAGATTTAGCCACTTTGGGGATGCGCATCAGTGCTTGATGATGTATGTAAGTTTCAGTTTAAATTTATTTAATACAATTAAATTAATACCAATATAAAATCCATATTACGTTGTTTTGCTCTTCTCTATTTAATTTATCCGCATATTTGAATAAAATAGTACTCTTGGTTCATAATGTAGAGCCTAATTTGAAATTGATGTTGGTCCTATATGTAAGAATTATCTAAGAATTTATTAATTTTTTTCAAATTAACTCTATGGATATTCTCTCAACAATAATCAAATATAAGAGGAAGAAAGGAATTAAGGAAGATAACCATCTAGAAATTAAGGGCGTTTTAAAAAAATATACCGTATTAACTAATTTATTTAAATGAATTTATTAGGTATTACATTAAGGATCAAAGGAGTAATTTATATGATACATATTTTTATAGATAAAATTGTCATGTGCGCGCGCATATATATTAAATCAGTGTCTCAGCCATTACTTTGACATTTTAAACTTCATATAAATAGGATTATATATTTTGAAAATTCTCTTTAATACATGCAGGTGTATTTCTAATGTTTGCAGCCATTTATGAAGCAACACATTCCATAGTTTTGCAAAATATTTTAGTTTTAGATGTTATATTAATTGCTGGATATTTAGAATTCTTTCTTATTGTGACATTGTAAGATGTTTTGAAAATGGAACTTCGTTACATAGAAGGGATAAAGTGGAACAGGATTGTATTTAAATGTAAATTCGTGAATAAAATTCCGCTTCACCTTACCCACCTTAGTTCTCCAGCCAGTTTTGCTTTACCCCACCCAGCCAATGAGCGCATAGACGAAGGGGTGGTGAGGGCATGATATCAACCACATAACTACACATATGCATACTTCAAAGGTTTCTGGAGGCATCTGCTCTCATTGAGCCTAACGTAAGTTGCCAATGCCTAGGCCCCCTTCACTTTTTTCTCAGTCACTCAACAAAACTGCAAATGAAAAGTTCAATTCAATTACTCCTCAACTTCATTACAATCTTTTCAAACTTTTCTTTCTGGCATCAATCTTCTTCTTGTCTGCCTGAGCTTTTGGTAGACCACTTTCCTTCTTTTGCGGGGCAGGAGAGGCAGGAGAAACCACGGTTGCAGCAGAAGAGCCATTACCAGCCGTGTCACTTGTAACAGCAGCGGGCTGTTCTTGGCTGCTTCCTCTAATTGCCATAGCCGAGTGGGCTGAAGGGGACTGCAATGGCAATGAAGCACCGAGAGATGCATTTTTCTCATCAGTAGTAAGAACTGAGGGGTTACTCTGATCAACATTCAATGCGGTAGTAGATTCTGATATAGCACCCGTTTTAAATTTGGCCTTCGACTTGGCATGTATTCCTGTGTAAAGCCTGCGTGAAAAAGATAAAGCTACTCGCTCACATGCTTAAGGAGAAAAATATACAAATCAAATATGAAAAAGAGGAAAGAGGGAAAAAAAGAAAAGAAAAGAAAAGAAAAGAAACAAAGTGATTTGGAAGGCATCAAACTTAAGTAAAAATTATCATAAAAGTCTCCAATCAAGATTATTAGTTTATTCTTATATTTAGGTGAGCAAAATGTCTTGTAAATCATAAATCAGTATAAAGAACTACAATTTCACAGAAAAATTAACTCAATGAAATTATCTTCAGCATGGTAAACTTCGTCAAAATGTGTTAATTCAATGTTCACTTGTCATAAGACTTGAGAACATCGTTAGTCTTTGTTAGCGCTCAAGGTGTCACATTACGTTCATAAGACCCAAGTTGATAGCACCAATAGCATTATCGGCTTAACATACCTGGCATGTCTAGCATACTCTTCATAATTTTCAAGCAGCATTTTGCCAGCTTGTTCATTTAAAGCTGATTCTGGAAATGGTTCAATCAATAGACATCTAACTACCTGTTAATTATCAAAGTTAAAAGTAAGACTGCACATGTCAAACTAAATTTAATAAAGCCTAATGTAGCTATGCTCCATACAGGCACAAGAGATTTTGCTTGCATGAACTGAACACTTACGATAAGAACATGGCGTAGCCCAAGGCTGGGATTCCAATCCTTTTTTAGCGTGTTGACACAAATCTCTCCGTTTGTTGCAATATTTGGATGAAAAATCTTAGTCAAGAAATAACCTACAACAATTAGGTTTGACAGCTTCACAGATTAGTAAAGTTGTGAAACTCACAAATGCTTAGACAGGATTATTTAGCCATGCAGGGCTCTTACAAAAACATATGCCCCTTGCTCATATCACATGCGTGAGTTCAACTCATTTTAAACTCATAATATGTAAATATACCTTTAGGAGGAGAGTTCGGAAAATCACGAGACAGTAACAATTTCATGCGAAAAACTCCATTCTCATATGGAGTCCCAGCTGCAAGAATAATAAACAGCTCATGGTTAAATTGAATTATTTACTTAACACTCAAGTATCAACTTAAAATAAAAGGCTACATGCCTGGGCCTTCGATGTCTGCATGTATTGTTGAAAAATCATCATCATTTACCACAACTTTGATTCCCTCAGGAGGAGATTCATCAAGATTTTTCAATTCCTTGACAAGTTGCTTTATTACATTGGGTGGAAGATTTTCGTTAGTTGCCTGCAACCGGGAAAAAACACTCAAGATACTGAAGACCAAAACTGACAACCATGCCAAGTTCGTTGAATATGAACTGCAAACATATTATCAACATCATGATTACTCCAGGCACCAAAATTATTTTCTTGGGCAAGGATATGGGTTCCACTAAAATTTCCTCCCTACAATTTCCTATCCAGTTGCACATAGATACTGACAAATATGTTGGCATGAATTCACAGCCACCACTATTTTCCTGGGAAGAGTTCAACAATATATATTCTAACCTATTGCTCAATAAATTCCCAGTCTGTTTACCAAAAATAAACATGTAATCAGTCTCATAGCAGTTATCAAAAGATGAATCAAATACTGGATGCCAAGAGATGTCCTGGAGGTCAGACCCGACCCACAATAAGTTTACACCACAAATAACATATGAGCCAGGCCAAACCATGCAAACTAGGGGAACTACCTCCAAAGGAGTCAAACTACAGAAGAGCAGTTGTGTAACATAAGAGAAAAAAATACTTACCATCGGCCTCAAATACAACTGCAATCTATGTTTTTTTATGTCACCCAGTAGCAATGAGCCCTTCGCTACACAAATTACTGAATTCTCAAAATTTCCTGTTCAGGAGTAAAGGAAGCAATCAAACCAAAGCAAAAGCACCTGCAAAACTCTTCTAATTAGGACTAAGTAAACAAATGCAGCTCCAACATGATAATGAGGGAATTAACTACCATACAATATCGATAAACAACAAAATCAAATACTAGAAAAGCTATAACAAAGAGGAAAAGGTAAAATAATACAGACGAGACAGATTAGAGAATCAATAAGAATGTTTCACTATTCACATCCCAATTTAGCTTCAGAATGAATGAGCTAATAATGGCACTACAGTCAACACAACTTTAAAACTTTTTTCGCTCTGGCAGTACTGACTAGTACCCGAATACACACACCCGAAGCTCCTAAATTACATGTATCTAGCATATCCGAGCAATAGAGAATCAATTTTCCTCACAAAAGAAGAAAGAAGCCAAACAAATAATTGAGCATCCATGTCAGATTAAACGAAACCAATCACCCAGTAAAACCCAATGCGCAGCATAAACCCAAGAATCTTAACATCGCTAATTGAACAAGAAAGAGATCATATCTATGTCCTATCGGATGGGAGAATCAATAACACTGTACACAACATAGACACATGGGACTCAGAATTAGGGAAAAGAGGACATTGAGCTCCCACAATTCCACACTAAATGTCAAACCCACGCAACCAAATACAAAGAAAATGGAAATGCGAATTCACCTAATCAGACGCCTCCCGGGTGCGAAACTAAAGCCAGCGGGAGACGAGAGACAGGGAGAGTATATGAAATTACACAGGTGAGAGCGGAAAAAGCGATCCCACCTTGGAATGATTTGATCAAAGGTTAAATGAATGGGCGCATATATTATAATCGAATGTAAACGAGAAGGGATACGCTAATAACAAAATAATCTTATTGGAAATTTGTCAATTATTCATGCAAAACAAAATAAATTTGTTAATTATTATGAATAATCTGATTGTAATTGGAATTGATTATTGTTTGCCTGTTTGGGTGCCAAAAATTGAAATTTATTTAAATAATTTTGCGCTGTCTGCTTGCCATGTTTCTCATTATGGATTAATGGGCACGCTGGATTCTTCTTGTAGAGGCGCCCCACGTGCTTTTTACGAGCGTGAAGTACACCGTCAAAAGTTATTAGTCTAGAATATCACATTTTTAATTTTTCTTTTAAACTATTTTTACCAAGAACACTTAAAAAATGAGGGCTTTCATGGTTAGAGCAGTCTTCAATACACACTTAAAAGTGTATTTTCGACCAAAAAAAATAATAAATTACTCCTCCGGTCCTAATTATAAGACCCAATTGACTTATTTGAGGAGATTAAGGAAGCAAGTTAAGTTGGTTATTTATAATAAATAAGTGTTGTCATTCCTAAAATATCCTTGCTAATTAAGTATATTGGCTAAAACTATCATTATTAGAAGGATTATCTTGGAAAAAAATGCATAAATATAAGAGACAAAATGGATTGGGGTCTTATAATTAGGACCAAATAAAAAGTCAAATGGGGTCTTATAATAAGGATCGGAGGAGTAATTTTCTTAACATGTATAAATTAAAGTGTATTTTCGACAAAAAAAAACAACATAATAAATTAATTTTCTTAACATGTATAAATTAGTTATTTATTTTTTAAATTTATAAATAAGAAGTGTATTTATTTATTTTTCTTTTCTGGGTTGAGGCCAATTATTACTGAAGTATTAATTGGAGTGGTATAATTGGACACGAATTGATCAATTAATATTAAATAAAAGAAAATTTATAACAAGGTCTCAAAAAAATAATTATTGAAAACCCCTATAATAGCTTAAACAGTCTATAATAACAAATTTTAAAATAAAAAATAACAACTTTTATAATTTATTTTATAATTAATTTTTTTTAAAATCTTATTATAATTTTCCCTTAAATAAACTCTTCCAGCGTATCGTAATAAAATTTATTTCAGAAGATAAAAAATTCTCAAATTATTCATTATTCAGGTGACTGTACTTATTGTCTTGGGGTAAGTGAGGGGCCCCGAATATTAATTTATACGGGGACGATACCAACTTCTCGTGAGATGAACGTTACAGGGTCGCCTTCGCAAGTAGCCGTTGCGGTGCCAGCAAGCACCCTGTCACATGTTCATACAGACACACAGCTAACTCATGATTTTTGACAACCATTTGAAATTACTCATAACTCATAACCTTTTTAATGAACTTATGGATAATGAATTATGGATAACAAATTCGTCCTCCTTTTAGTATCATGAATCCGCGTCCACATCATTTGGAGGAAAAAAAAAAAAAAGGAAATCAGCGTCCAGATCACAAAATGCAATTTTTTTCTACATTTGCTCTTTTTTCACCAGAAAATGGCACTGCTTATTAGACATCTTAACCAACAGTAAAATATTTCCAGGCTTATATCATGGGACTGGACTTTCGGCCCAAAAAAAGAAAAGAAAACATAGGACTGGCTAAGTAGGAGGGGCCTTGCGAACACTGCAGACATTTTCGGGGCTAAAAATTGGTTAAATTTACCTCGAACATGGATTTGCAAATAATTATATGCAGAATGTAACACATGGACCAAAAGTCGAGTTTCACGCGGGTTTCCCTATTGAGGTAGTACATTCCCGATGCTTCATACAGCTAAATTACCTCTCATCACAAAACCGCAAGGCGAGGGTACACAAGACAGATAAGTATAACCATTTCCCAATCAAATCCTAACTAACCCTGTTGCTGATGGCTTGATGAAGAGATTTAAGCTGCGTGTTCCATTTCTCGACAGCAGAGTATTTTTTCATTCCTTTTGACCTGTATCACGGTATCTCCAAGGTTACGATTTGTGAGAAATACTGAAATTCTGAAAAGGGTGAATCAAATAAAAACTATAGATGGGAGTGAGAAAGCCTTGACCTATCTGAGCGTTCTAATAGCCGATTAACTTGATCTATGTGGCCTTGAATTCTGTTATCCAAAATTAGCGACACCAATAGCTGCTCAACATCATGCTCAGGCACATTAAGTTCCTGCTCAACAGTGGATTTCATCAAATATGTTGAACTCACTATAAGTTCATAACTTGAGTGTCCCCATAAAACTAATTTAGCATACCAAACCCGCATTATAAAAAAGGGAGGAGGAAGAAGAGGAAGAAGAAGCAAAAGAAATCTGTCAAATATACTTTCTGCAAGTGTTTCCCCCTTAAACCAATGACATCAGCCTTAACTTGTCCAAGCCTTTTTCTACAATTCTATTTTCCCCCTTTCCTTTGTTGGAGGTGGCAGGGGTTAAACGGAAGGAGGGAAGGGACGTGAGTAAAATTACCTTAGATATAAATGGGATCCTGATCCTTGTATAGGGTTTGATGAGCTTCAGCAAGACTTGTGTTCTTATGTTCTTCAGCAGATCCTCAATATAATTTCTGATAAAAGGGTCGTCCATGATGGTCCTTCTGTTACTCTGAAAGTTAATCACCAAACATCCACTTACATGTCACAAAAGTAAGAGAGAAAGATCTTAAGGTCGAATTTGCACATAACATAACGTAATGCCAGACTCATCATTTTACCTTCAAAATTTTCTCAAATTCTAATATTTCATTCCGTTGATAAGCTGCTATTAAATTTGTCATTGCCAAAATTTCAGGGTCATTCTTGTATCTGCAGTGCATAGTAAATGAAAGGTGAAATCAGACATAGTATAGGATGAGGAAAAATGAGACAAGCAAAATGAAATAGGATAGAGAAGACTTAACGGCTTAGCTTCCTGCCCGTCAAATGGATTGACTTCAGATTCCATCAACATGTTGGCTAAGACGAGGTATCTGGCAAGGATAATAAGTCAATGGTACATGATTTATTTCTAGCAAGAATAGCTGTGCAGCTGGGCACAGATGTCAATTATTGAAAATTAAACATGAATTCTCAATCCAGGTAAAATGAGGAATTAAAACGCAGGATTGCCTAGTTTGTGTGGGGAAGAAAATCCTAGTTTAAATTGATTGTGCATATTCTTTCTTTTGGCCAATGAATTATTGATACATATCCAAGCACATGCTTTTTGTGTAAATAAAATCCACGTGAAGTGAAAAAATTGTTTCAAATTAATTATGAAGAAAATGCTGCTACATACTTCAGGCATTGAATGCGCCTCTGATTCCCAGCTTCATCATAATTCTTAAAAGCTTCAAAAAAGTCAGTAGCTGCTTCAGCCCACTGGCGCTCTGCCATATGCATTTTCCCCCCACATTCATGAATTATCCCCATTATCCTTGGATGGGGGATTGCTGACTTAATAGTGAGTGCTTTTTGGTAAAGTTGCTGCATTAAATGCATGGAGACTGGTAAAGATACATAAACAAACTTCACCAAACCCAGCATAAATTTGATCAACAAGTCAATGAGGAGAATCATTAAGTGAACAACCTCATTAGCCAAAGACATTAGAGTCTCAACATCAAATATACTTCCTTGTAAGCAGATGTGTAAACAGAGAATGAAGTTATACCTTCATAAATCCAAAAACTCTTAAGCTTCACCATTTTTTCAACAGCGGGTGGAAATTCAGATGAACAATAATAATTTAAGAATATAGAACAAGGCAAATACATAATGTGCCTGTCATAATATCCAATACAAGCATAAAATGGTATGCTTGCATTCCCCCATTCATTTTGAAAGAATTCGGTGGATTTAGAATCATGAACTTTATAAAACTAGCAAAAAGCATATTATTTGTCAAACAAAAAGACATAAATGAAATGGCATTATTTGAAAAATTCGTCTACAACCAGAAACAGTAAATGTGCAAGATGGTAGTCAATTGCAGCAAAATCCAATAAGCCATTACAAGGCCAATAACTGTTAATTGAATAAAACAAGCCAAACAAGCCAAACGATGAAGAATTTATTTAATTCTAACCTTGAGTTTTTTGTTATTTTTGGTCTCCGTATACATCTGAATCTCTATGGCATATACCTCCAAAAGTTGGGTTCCTTTCTTGTGGTCATCTGTGCCATCTTCCCTTTGACAAGATTTATGAAGTTCCTTCAATATCTAATCAGGTCCAGTGAATCATTGAATTATTAAATGCTCATAGATGCTTGTAACATCAGGCACAGACATCAAGATTTTGTTGGATTCTTATGAAATAAACATTACACCTTACTCATTCGTCCATATTCACCAATATCGAAGAAAATCTTGCAGAGCTTCAGATTTGTCTTGAACCACAATCTCTGCATGATGGGTGACAAGCACAAAAGTGGGATCACAAAATGGGAGGTGCAAGGCATAAAAAGCAACAGAGATAATGTCTAATTGCCTAACCTCATTCTTTGCTTCTTCAAGGGCTTTCAGAGTTGTTTGGTAAAATTCCTGCAAAAGGCTGAAGTTCTGGCTAGCTGAACCTGAGACATAGTCCATGATGCTATTGATACATTTCTCACTATAGTTTCGAGTCACTGCTGACTTAATATAAGTCAACATCTCCCTATAGGATTCCATCATTTCCTTATATCTTCCCAGTCGATAATAAATCTTGACAGTTTGTTTGAGAGCTTTAAATCCCCTAATGGAATGTGAAATAGGTATAACATAAGTAATTGTTTATTAAAAAATAAAAATAAAATATATATATCAAAATGTGATGAGCTAAGACAAAAAAGGCACGCATGAATACTAGCAATTCTCAAAGGATATATTATGCTGGTTAAAAGGAAAAAAGTAACTATCAATAACAAATACAGAGGAGGAGAAGATCAAGTGGAATGCTTAAGGCTCAACAAAAATAATATTTGCTGAATGAGAATTAAACTCAGAAGATAGGGATGAATTCAGAAAAGCACAACAGTTAATAGTGCAACCAGAATTATACAGCTAGTAAATATTTGGAGAGACAACCAAAAGGAAAGAAAAAAAAATTGCAACTGACTGAAAACAAAAGAAAAGCAGCCATAGATCACGAATTGATACAAAGAAAGAACCACAGGAGATGCAACCAAGTGATATTGATATTGCTCTTCTTTTCTACTTCCCTATCCTTCTTTATAAGCATCACTCAGAGCATGGATTTCCTACCAGTCTGCCTTTTCTTGTTCCATTTGAACTACCTCAGCAAAACCAGCAAGTGCCCCTTCGGGATCAGTTTCAACCAAACCTACATACAGCAGAAATATTACTATCCTAATAAAACAAGTGTGAAAAAGATAAAGCAGCCCTAAAATAACAACCATAAGAACCCTAAACTTCCAAGATCATAAAGAAAATAAACTGTTAAGTGCTATTTATCAGGTCATTTTACGATTAGTTTCACAAGGAAAAAAATGCTATGCCATTATTAACAATACATCAGCAGGATAACAAAGTGGTTTCTGGATGTGACAAATTAATCATGATGCTTACATGAGAAATGGTCACAACAACTTGCAATCGAGTTTGTTCACTGCAAGATCTAATGTCAAATGAACAAATCGGTTTATTTGACTAGTAAATTCAACAATAATGTTGATACCCCCATGTGAACTAGTTCAACTTTCCCAAGTTGCCACAGAAGAATGTTTACCACGTACTGAGTTATTGACGAGAATATAAGCAAGCAAAAAGTACAGCTCCAAGACAAAACAGCAAGTTTTTACAAGAGTAGATAGCATCAATTTTATTGCATCGGACTCATGCATTACTTAAAGCCCAAGATTAACCAAAAAATTCCTTACTCATGAACGGTCATAAGAATCGACTAATATATTTTCGGGCATACCTTTTGAATTGTAATATTGATTCTCAATATCAACGTCTTGCTCTTCTGGCTCCTCCTCTGAGTACTCAAATCCGTAGTCCTCCATATCGGCATCTACAGAATAAAAGAAGCGCAAACTGAATTATTCTTTGGCAAGTGAGGATAAGGAAACCAGAACTTATAGCGATGCAAGTCCATATTTGACAACGTCTCGAAGGTTAAGAATACTTCAAAGAACAAAGAAGCAAAACCAGCTACTTTCTGGGACTAACAATCTCCATACATTAGATGGCAAGATATAATCCAAATTGGCATTGTATCACCGGCCTGTATTTGAATTTCCCCACCTTTACCCTCCACTGTTTTCAATAATTTAGATGGCTCAGAGTGACATCAACAAAGGTAGGATCTCCTATACCATATCAACCACGACTCGTCATCACCTATTGACACAAATGAAAACACTAGTGCCATGCATAAACACTAACACGTTCGGCCGCGACCAAAGTATCCCAGAAGTTTCCAGGTTCAGTTCAAAGCACTCGTAAGTCGTAACAGGAATCGGGTAGATGGTCGAGATAGAAAATAAGTATCCTAAAATTTTGAATAAAAAAAAAAAAGCTTCTTTGGAACCACAGCAATGGCGATAATAATTTCGAGGGCACGAAACATGAAGAACGATTAAACCCTCGCATCATATCGAGAATCAATAAAGCAACACATACCGGAAGCCATGTCGACTCAACACAAGTCTGGATCCAATTTAGGGATTTGATCGTCACTACCGGTATCTATATGCGCTCGAAGTTGCTCTGGTTTCTGACTCCACAGAGACCGGCGACCAAGTGAAGTGAAGGTGCCAGGGGCCATAGCTGCTTCTTCCTCGGAGTTCATTGTTGGGCCACTTGGGGCCCAAGTTAATTAGTCACCTGAGCCCGCTGCAGTTTGGACTCAATCCAGTGCCAGATCAAAAAAATAAAAGATCCAGTGCAAGTTCTCCCTTCTCTGTGCATGTGAAGCCCGGCTGGCACGTGAATAATAAAAATAATGGACATTCCTTTCTCTTCCAAGTTTATATACGTATTTTTAATTATACGTATTAAGGAATTCTATTCATTAAATATTTTTTGATGTAGATGATTAAATAAAATATTTTAAACAAATTAAATACATGTTTTTGTAAATAAATAATTTAATTAATTTAGTTTCCTAAAAACTAAATAATTCACATTAACTTTATTAGTAAGAGGGGTAGAAGTTCACACTCTTAAACCATGGTTGGAGTATAAGCCCTAACGAAAAAAACTAATTAAGACACGTTTATTCTTTACCTTTTTATATTGTGAGAATTAAAATATGAATCTTCACTTAAAAAATGTTTATTCAATACTATTTTGGATAGAATGATCTTTAATTAAAAAAAAAGTTAATATAATCTTTAGTGTTTTAAATTTGTCTTGTTTTAGTCCCTCAAATTTCAAATTATAGGTTTTGGTCTCTCAAGGGACAAAATAGTATAAATTTTTATTGGATTATAAGAACTAATATTTCAAATAAAAAGAAATTTGAGGAACCAAAATCTATAATTTAAAATTTGAGAGACTAAAATTAAAATAAAAATAAATTTAAAGGACTAAAATTTGTATTATTCTTAAAACATATATATATATATATATATACAATTTTTTCAGTCACACGCAAAGAGCCAACTAGGACCACCGGCGCGACAACGCCTGCAAAGAGGCAGATGGAATCCATAGCCCATTTTTACTTATTTTTTACGCCAAAAGGCAATGTCATCGATGCACGACATTTTTTTAATGCATTCCTGTAATAAAATCAAGAAGCCAATTACCAATACACATTCCTGAATTAAACGGGAACTAACTAATCAACGGGGGTTGATTTAAGTGATAAGTGGTTTGGTATTGCTTAAACGAGATCTCAAGTTCGAGTCGCGAGTCAGATCCAGATGTAGTCAGAATAAAACTCCGGTAAACTAGATAGGCAGCAAAAAAAGAAAAAAAGGGAACTAACTAGAAAAATCGAGCGTCATTAATCAACTCAATTATTTTTTCCATGTCACCTTATTTAAAATTCTTATAGAAATGCCCATTATTCCAGTGGTAAAGTCATTATTACCCTGCACCTCATCGGTTTCTCCCAAAGGCATCTCTTTTTGTTTAACGCCGCTGGCTGGCCCAATTCACATCATGAAAGCTCCTCTTGAGAGATGAGCAAACAAAATACGGGGATACCTTCACGAGAAGGAACAAAATATCGTTTTCATGCAAGAAAAGTAATGTTTTTATTTTAAATTATTATTAATTATTGATTTTTTCCTCCCGACACAGGAAAGAATAGAAAAGAGAAGGGAAGAGAACTGGGTCAGAGTCGGGGCTTGTTGAATTATTTTCTTTACAGCGTACTGTATTAGCAGAATAGAATAGAAAAGAAAACTGAAGATTGGATTTTGAAAAGGAAAAAAAGAAAAACAACTGGGGGGACAGGCGCGAGGGAGAGAGAAGCGTATGTTTTTTTTAACCCGCAACGCCAGCGGAAGGAGGATCTGAAAGCTTCGTACCAACAAGCGTGACCCCAAAAAAATGCGAGGTATGAGCATATGATTCATCTTCATCTTCTTATCTTTCGGAACCCTAAGTTCTCTTTCCGTTGCCACTCCTTTTGACGCAATTTGACTTCATCTGTAGCACGATCCACTTATCTCACTCCCCATTACCTTCTGCTATCTGCTGTCGATAATTCGCGTCTTTTGAAAACTCTCGCCATCAATTTCTGTGGGTTCGTTTGAATTGAACTTCTCCTGCATTCTCTTGTTTTTGTTCTAGAATTAGAAACTACCCTAGGTACTGAATTTGAGTCCATGTTTGTTTTTTGATGTAACTTTTAGTTGACTCTGCTGGGCATTTTGGGCTATAGTGCTTTTGGTTTTAGTTAGACTCAGACAGTATCGCAGAAGGTTGATGATTTCCTGCTTGGAATTATCAGCATGAAACAGCTCTTTAATGTAGGCAGAAGAAAGGTTTCTTTACTTCCGGGAGTTTGGCTTTGTGCGATAATTATTCTATTTGTGAATGTCGACAATCCTCTGTGTCCGTAATCCCATTTTCTTTCTCGAAGCGAAGGAATAAAAAAACTCAAGTCAATAAGATATCAAGTGTAACAATGTCGAAGAGGCTGCGTGAAGTCTCACTGAATTCCGAGTCGTATGAGTTGAGTTCACTATCCTCAGTTGATAGCTGCGCAGCTCAGAGTTTGTTTGCCAAAGTGAGCAGATAAACTAATGTCCAAAGGATTTTACTTTTGCACCTGTAGGGTATTAAATATTGAGATTGTCTCATCACCTTTCTACTATAAGTCTATAACTGCAATAACTCTTCCATTTGAAAATTTCATGAAACATTTTGTTTAACAATATGTGGTAACGAGGACTATACGGTAGTTAATTTCTTCTACTTACTCTAATGCCATTGTGTATTATGTCTCTAACTTGGTATACTGCGCTGTGTAGAATGATGAGTAGACTGGGGTGAAATGATTTGGAAGTAATTGAAGCTGTGGGAACAAAATGCTTAATGTTTCTTGTTGTGATCATAGACGTAGCTGTGGTGTTAAGTTTTCCTCCATCGGAAAACTTTATTCTTTTACCAATGGCAGTTGATACAAGTGGTTTGGCATTTGTTTCTCTTAAGTTAGGTATTGGGTTTAAGGAGGGGGAAAATTATCACGAGGGGAGTATTTCACTCGTGTGGTCTTACATGACTCAGTTTAGATTTAGATAGGGCCCGATGTGGCTTTTGGAAGCCAGTTGGTATGCCTGAAAATAAAAATAACTATCCTTTCATATCCTGCTGTGTTTATTTCATTCCAGAGAACTGCTTATGTTTGAAATTTTAGAAAGAATATAGATTTAAGATTGAATTCTGGAAATTTTACAAGTCCGCATGATACGCAATGCAGTTAAACAAATTTTCTGGTTTTGAGGTGTTTACATACTTGTGCTTATAAATTTCAAAGCCCAAATGGGCAGCATGTTACAGAAATAGAGATTGAGTGGAGATTAGAGGCTGCATTTAATGTTGCCTTGGAGAAACTAGCAAGACATATCTTCCCATTTTAACCTTACTCTCAGTATGTGATGATAACTGACACCTTCGTAATTTAGCTATGGGTAAAGATGGCATCTATTTTCTGTTTGCAATGCCTACTTCGCTATTTGTATGTCAGTTTGTCCATTATTTCTGTATTTTTTGTCATGTGATTATTCTTGATGTAGTTCAGTAATTGTGATTCATTTAACTAATGAATGACTGATTTTACTTTCCACCAAAAGAAGAAGAACTGTATTGGTAATTGTAACACCCTTTGATGTTTACAGGTATATCCCCTGACCAAGAATCAGTTGGGTCTGGGACAAAGAGGTCTAGTGTATCATCAGGCAGCAGGCCTCGAAATCAGAAGGAATTTTTCTATAGATTTCTTGAGAGTGACAACTTGACTGAAAAACTTGTGGACTGGTTTGAATCTCTAGCAGAAAGATGTGCACCAAAACAGCATGCCTTCGATGTTCCTTTTGAGCTGATAGAACTACAAAAATTTGATTATGCACTGGAAGGCATTTCATTTCAACAACTAATACGTATGCCTAATGCTGTTCATGCTTCTACATCTGATACTGTAGAGGCTACTGCTTATCTTGCAATTGAAGATTTTCTGCATGCAAGCGTGAAGGGCTTATGGGAGGCTTTTTGGAGTCAAGATGACCCCATGCCTTTTTCAGTGGCCTGTCTGTATAATTCCAACATGAAGTTTTATCAGGCTGAGAAGGCAATTGCTAATGGAAAGCTTGGAGGTCTTTGTGCTACTGGTATACTACTCAATAATCCTAGACATCCCCATGGAAAATGGGATCATGTCCTTGAAATAGCTCTTTTAAGGCCTGATATCAAAAGTCTGGAGGGCAGGGACTCCAGGCCATCTTCATCAGTTCTTGGGGATGCTCTTTTCTGTGCTCTTCGCATGCTCTTGGCTAGAAGTTTGAGCAGGCTGAATTTCTTTGAGGATCCAAACACAGTCTTTGTTGTTCTAGTTGATTCTCAATATGGTGGAGTTGTAAAGGTTGAAGGAGATGTAAATAAACTAAATTTTGATACAAATAATGTTTATGAATGTGCAGCTGAATGGGTGAAAAATCATTCAAGAATTGCTGTTTCTCCCATTGATAGAATCTGGAACAAACTCGGAAATGCAAACTGGGGGGACATTGGTGCTCTACAGGTGCTGTTTGCAACCTTCCACAGTATAGTGCAGTATGCTGGACAACCCAAGCACTCTATTGAGGATTTAGCTGCTGATCACAGTTTGCGTCTCCAAACGAGAAGAGTGGATAGGCAATTAGGGGATACCAGTGTGAATGAAAATGGTCTATTCCGACATCAGCAGAGAAGTGTTTCCCCAGAAATTGTTGAAGTTCGTGAGGATTCTGTGAGAATTGAGCCCAAAGAGTCAATGAAGTTAGAAGTAGGATCCGTATTGTGGCTGGAGGATTCAGATTTGCAAAAGGGTTATCAGATAAAAGAAGTCATCACCACTGGTGAATTGACATATTACATTGCATCTTATGTTGAAGAGCCAGCAAAAAATCTTTTTCTGTATGTGGGTTCTCATCTTCTGGAACCTGCTTGGGAAGATATGAACTTGTGGTATCAAGTTCAGAGGCAGACAAAGGTATTGACAGTAATGAAACAGAAAGGTCTTTCAAGCAAATATATCCCTCAACTGAGTGCATCTGGTAGGATTATTCACCCTGGTCAGTGTCAAAGACCTAACTCAGGTGGAAATTGCGACCACCCTTGGTGTGGGACTCCTATTCTTGTGACCAGTCCTGTTGGTGAAACAGTTGCTCAAATGGTGAGCAAAGGCCAATTTGGCTCGATGAGGCTATTAGATGTTGCCATGACTGCTTATCAGCACTCTCAACAGCTGCTTCTGCTGGAATTCGACACGGGGACATAAGGCCTGAGAATGTAATTTGCGTAAAGTCTGGTGTGAGGCATCCTTATTTTGTTCTAATTGGTTGGGGGCATGCAATTCTTGAAGATAGGGATCGCCCTGCTATGAACCTTCATTTCTCTTCAACTTACGCACTTCAGGAAGGAAAGCTGTGTTCGGCTTCAGATGCAGAAAGCCTAGTGTATATGCTTTATTTTTCATGTGGTGGGGCCTATCCTGAACTAGATTCAGTTGAGGGAGCACTGCAATGGAGAGAGACGTCTTGGTCAAGGAGATTAATTCAGCAAAAGCTTGGTGATATCTCTACAGTGCTGAAAGCTTTTGCTGACTATGTTGACAGTCTGTGTGGAACACCATATCCCATGGACTATGATATATGGCTAAGAAGGCTGAGGAGAAATATTCATGATGGAGATCATGGAAAAGAAATCGATGCTACCGGCTAGGCTTTCTAATTGATTCCAACTCCAGGAAAGAGCACTGTTGATCATCTATGACATGTTTCTCATTGCAATGATTGAATTTTTTGGTGGTAAATAAAACTTGGAAACCAATGGTTTCATACTTTGATCACATAAATCTGATCGGAGGCATTTGGGGAGCATGAGATGGTATACAATGTATACCTGTGCCTGTTGAGGAGCTAAAGCATCAAATCACTTTTGTTTTTTTGTTTTTTTCCTTTACAATTTTCTTATGAGATTCCTATCAATGTAAGCTATATTGATAACAATATTCCTTTTGTAAAGATAATAGGTCTTTTGGCATGCCCTAGTGGTTCAAGACTGGTTTGAGCGATTCATGCTGCACTGTGGGTAGTCATTTTCTGTAAATGGGTTGGTTTGGTGTTCTTGGAGGTTTCAGATCAAGCCGCTTAAACCATCATTGCTTTTCTGTCATGTTATTTTTCTTCCCTTACTCAAATTGATCTGTCAGGATTTGGACTTATTGAATGTTATTCACTCGTTCAGAGTAGAGAGGTAGTTTTAAATTTTTGCCCTTACATTTTTCTTGGAATAGTTGCCCATTGAGGGGGACAAAGCTTGGTTCAATCTATATTGCTAATGGTCCTACGGCCTGATAACGCTGACTTGTTCTTGTGTGTTTTGCTTGTTTTTTTCAACCCATAAAGCTTGCCTTTTGTAATTAAGAAAACAAAAGAAGAAAAACAGACGTGAGATATCAACCATTCATCCTGCCCTTTCGCTTTAGCTTGCCCATTTTCCATGTATGAGCGGCATTATCTCGCCATGGTCTTCCGGCATGTTTTTCTAGGGGGTCTAATGCTTTCGAGACTGTTAACCTTGATATCCATGGGGAAATAAACCCACCAGCTTCACGAAGCTAGCGGCGTGCAAAGTTACCTTGAACATGCAAAGGTGACTAGGAAACTTGCACCCTTTTGCCAACCGAGTTTTTCAAGCATTTGCTAACCTATTAGGCAAAAATGCAATACATGGGACCAAATCATGCATAACTGTTGACGGCATGTCACTTTCTATTGATGTAACAGGTAGTTGATTAAATGTTTACGTAGATAATGAACTTGAATAATTTTTTTTTTTTTTTTACTCTGCTAATCTGCATCCATTTCTTCAAGGGCTGCTTTGGCCGCCGCCTTGGCTTCTTCTAACAGCTCATCTGGGACCTGTAGACGGTTATAATGAAATATGTTATTTACGGGCTTGCAAACGACAACGATAAGCCGTAAATGCGCACAAATAATTGTTACACTAGGGCAGTGGTGACCGGCAATTCACACAACACAACATGAGGGTTAGGGCGTTCCTCTCGATGAAGCTAGGGACAATTTGCAGCACGCAAACAGAGGATTATAAAACCAACAAAAAGCAGAAATCCATAATCCACGGACTAAGCCATTTTGGATTGAATTCTTGTGCAATGAAATAAATAAGATGATAAAATAGTGATGCCCTAGCCGAATCTCATGAAGAAGGTGCTGTGCTGTAATGCAAGAGGATGGGCCAGCTCCAGATACGATTCGTTTCCCTAACCATCATCTGACTGTCAAAAGCCATTTCATTTCCTACTCTCATTGGTCCTAAATATATAAGTTAAATAACTCATTTATAGGTATTAAAAATTTAGTTAAGTTAATTATCTATAAAAATTGTGCATTAGTGTCCCCAAAAAATCCCCTTAAATTGTTTCCATCCAAAACTAGTCCTCTTAAGGGAAAACTCTATTTAATTTATGCAATCAATAGAGATAATTTGGAGAAAAAATGTAAATTTAAAAGGCAAAGTAGATAAAGGTCTCACATTTAGGACTAAAACAAACCCTCAAATAGAAATTGAAATTCAACCACAAATTGCTGGATAAGTAAACGAAAAGGCAACAAATCCATAGATCTTCGCTAATCGCTAATTGCAAATAAAACCACATACACCTAACATCTTAAATGACAATTTTATCCTTAGCAGGATGAGCATTACCTTTTGATGTTGGCGGTTTGATTCATCACAGACCCAGCTCATTTCTAGCTCAAAGTCTTTATCCTTAGCCTCATCATGCACTCCATATATACTGCACGGCAGCAGCAGCAGCAGCAGCAGCAGCATCATCACAACAACAATAATAAGGCATATTTTTTGCAATTAAAAATTTAATTATAGCATTCAGCTTCGATAGAAGATACAATTTCTGTATAAACAAATTCTCCCCTATTGAAGTAACAAAATCAATCATTTACAAGGTTAATCATCCAACAGAACATTTATAATGATTAATTACAGGAACAAAACAACTTTCAGTACCCCTATAACACAAAGAAACTCAGAAGCTCAAAGGCCACAGCCATTGCCGAAACAGGTAAATTATCCCAGGCAGTGGTCAGAAAATTATTATCACTTTTCTCTTGATGGATAAAACTTTAGTTTGGTCCCTTGATAGTTGACTTTTCAGGGATTCCGATATGGACAAGCAAGTACATTGTAAAGCCTGAAGCTTTAACGTGTATACTGAATTCCATAGCTTTTGGACAAATGTCATTGAATTGCAGTACATCGAAAAACTGCACCATCTCATGTTGTTCTTCCACTAATTATAAGTTTATAACCACTCTTCCACTATTACATTCATTTCCCTAACGATTTAAAAGTTTAAGCCAAGATTTTTATCATCCAATACTCATAGCATAGAACAGAACACAAGGCCACAAACTCACAAAATTCCAGTATAAAATGTTTCCAAGTATAGATGACATAGATAACATTGTAAATTGACAATAAAATTACTCAAATACATAATACATACTACTTACATCTTGGCTACTTCAATAACCCCTTGTCGGCAAGTCATCTCAGAAAGCTTTAGCTTTTCGATCTCCCTGCCAAGCATTATAATAACAATTGAAAAAATTACCATCACACTGAAACAAGTTTGACATGTTCTGGTTGCTTGAGAACAAGGGCATAACTACTATAAATGAATTTATATTAAGGTTTCATCATGTGGGTTTCAAAAAAATGAATTCTATCATGTGGAACAAAAGAGAAGCAACTGTATACTTTATTGCATTAAAAAGACAGATAAGCAAATTTAAATGTGTGGGGATGCATCTGATAAGAAATGAGTACTAGCACAATGAATTAACGAATCAATTGCACTCACGTCTTAGCAGCCTGTCTACCCTTTCCAATTGCAGCACCAAAATACCTCTAGGACAAATACCAAACATGTAAGCACGTAAATTACAGATGAAACTGTAGTAAAAAGAATCTTAATGAAAAAGGAAGTATTGAAAAAGAAGGAAGTATCCATCGTACAACAAATAGCAATAAACAAAAGTGGACTCACAAAGGAAACACCAGAAGGTTCAACCAAGTACAGCTGTGGTCCATCTCTATCATAACCTCCTAATATGACACCACAACCAAATGGTCTGCAGCAACATTATTATTCTCTCAATTAATTTAAATGCGAGGAATACAATTTGAAAGTGAGCAGTGAATGACAGTCAAATCTTAATAAACCTGAGCCACCAATATAGCGTGCAAAGATGCACATAACTAGCCACACGCTCAGCAAGTTCCTTAACAGGAATTGGTTCACCATACACACTGAAAAAGAATAATAAATCTAGGTGAGATCATTTCTTTCCATAAGTTGAACAACATATATCAAGACCTAATACTTTAATTTACATCACTAGCACATTGAAACTACAAGACAACACATTAAGTAGTGTCCCTAGGACGAGGACTTCAAATAAATTACTATTGGCTTTGAGATTCAACAACCAGACTCCACAGATTAATTGTTTAAGATATATGGATATATTTGTATGTTTGTAACATTCTAAGGGTGAAGCATCATGTTTACTGTCATTTTCGGACAAGCTAAACCGTACATGCTGATACTATATTCTGTCTGTTAGCTTAGAGAACTGTCGAAATATGTGGACGTCATTCCAATTGTTTCTTTATATGCTCTCAAAAACCAAAACTTATTTAAGCAGGGTAGGAAAACAATGAAAAGTGATGACTTTTCCCACCTGCTATTTATTTCTCTTGAGAAGGATATATAGAAAACTACAGAGAACTAACAGAAAGAAAACCTAAAAAGTGAGAACTGTGTTTCTATAGAGATATAATAAGTCTGCGTATGTTTTATACCAGTGCTACATCAGGGTGGAAACTAAAGAATGTAGGTAGTTGATGAAGACATATAAATATGAACACAAGAAGTGAAAATAAAGGGGGAAGGGAATCATCCTAAGATGTTGCTGGAATACAGAGCAAACCTATCATAGTTAGTTGCCTCAGACTTAGCCCTGGCAACAATTTGTCTCCCATCGGCAGCTAATCCAGCCACAGCCTAAGATTGGAAGAACAGTCATGATTACACAAAAAAGAAATTTAGAAAAGAAAGAAGAATACTTAAACTCTGACTGGGACAAAAAGGTAAACTACTAAGACCACAGAGAAAATCCATGTTCAATTATTCCAGGGCAATAAAGCAGCTAAAAAGTAACAAAAGAAAGCACATGTTAAAATTTTAAAAAATTAAGTATTTACAATGCTATATGTATGTACTAGCTTCTGTAGCCACGAATTTCTCCTTAACCACATTTAGTATTAAGATTCGCGTGACTTCTAATACAGTGTATAGACATGCTCATGCACGGATTTCCTCCCCCCCCCCCCCAACAATTTAGGAGGATTTTTCTGTCTTATTATAATATTTTTTGGGTGAATATTCATTGTTATATTTCTGCTTTGTTCTTTGGCCATGCATTAATGAATTTTATTTTCTCTTTCTTGGTTATTGTCCCGTAAGTAGATGTACATAATGAAATTCAGAAGAATAATACACATTCAAAGCTCTTTCTTCATCATGCATAGAATGAGTCTTGTTATTTTGACATGATCGGGGATCCCGAAAGCACTACCATCAGCAGCGTATAAAGCATGGATTCTGTTAACATTCACACTTCACTAACTCATACATGCCTTGCATGTCAAACATGTCTCTTTAATTACATTACATGCCGTTATTAAATGATTCGACGGAACGAAAGAGTATTACCAAAAAAAAAAAAAAAGAGTACTGTAGACAATATAGTACCATGCCCGAGTGGCGATGAACAGAGTGTATTCTTCTATTGGAACCCGTCAGCATCATCTTCGACGGAATAAGCTTCTCCACCCCCTATAGTCCAGGAAAAGCTAAAAAACGAAGGGGCATGGATACTGAAAAAAATGAGCTTAGCAAAATCGAAGTATTTACCATCACAATCCCGTCTTTGCATTTGATACCCACGACGGTCCTGCCAAGAAAAACAAATCCGTGCATCTTAACGCCATCATTCAAGTTCTTCGCAAAAAGGCTAAGCAACATTTTACCCTAATTGAGTCAGGAAAACCCGGCGAAGGCTTCACTGTTACGAAAGTAAATTTTCATGCAGTCCTAGGTAGCGATTACACACATTAAAAATCCTATTTTGTTTCTCTCACAGCATTTTTCCACTGAACATACACAAAGAAGAAAAGTGAAAATGCAGGAAAAGGAAGCAAACTGAGCAAAAGCAAGGTACCCGCTATTGTCGACGGCCTTGGCAGCGTATTCGATCTGGAAAACCCGACCATCAGGAGAGAATGTAGTGACTGATAAATCGTAACCTGTTCCAATGCTACTCATGCTTCCAAACGATCAACTTGTTCAAAATCTACTTTGTCCGTCTTATGCCGCTTACCCGGGCTTCTTCGGCACCGCAAGAAGTAAAAGGGCGAAATGTTTTTCTTCGGACTCAAGAAAATGGCTAAATTTTATCACGGTGGAGAGTAAATGTGAAAAATTGCATTTATGCCTCTTACCTTTCAATAAATTTCACATTGGTCCCGAAGGTTCTGCCATAAGCTCTCCTGGTGTCCTGCAGTAAATCATAATCAACTTTCAATAAATATAGATATCATGCTTAAGTGCGATGTTAATATATTTGTGTGTGTTTTCAAATTTAAAAAAAAAGAATGGATGAATGTATTCCAATTCCACGGGGACTCATAAAATAAGGAAATAAAAAAACTATAGGCGAATATATTCCGAGGGCAAGAAGGAATGTATAAATTGTTAGCACCTTTCCAAATCTCCAGCTATTTTTTTTTAATTATTATTTGCATTACATATATCTTCCATACATTATTACTACAGTTCACTATAATAAAATATTACTCGCCTATCAGGACTGTTTCTTTAGTTCAGAATATAAATGGTTGACAGGTTTGTCGAGCATTAATTATTTTGACAAACGCGAAAAAAAATTATACTCTGGAATAAATTTAATGAAAAAATTAACTTCAACCAATTTTTAAAATATGGGTAAATAATTGAGTTAACTGAGCTAAGTGGACACTGCCATCAAATTTTCTGTGCAACGCGGAGGCAAGATATCTAGATATTATTATTGATCAACATGGGGAAGGAAACGAAATCCAGCACATATGAAGATAACATTCCTCGAGGCTCGAACCAGCAATGTTTCATGGCAATGGCAAATAGTGAAGAACGAATCTACTAAGAAGCCTGGTTCCAGCATAGACTATATAGAGTGCCATACACAGGAATTCCGTCTGCTTCAGAGGATGGGGCGGACTATGCTGCTCGTATCAGACTTCATTTTGTCATTCATGTGGGTATGCTCAGGGGTTCTGATTAAGCTGGTCGCAAACAAATATCTGGGATTGAGTCGTGAGCCACTCCGTGAGATCGTGAAGATTGCGATCGTCATTGCTAACATGTTCTTCTTTGCGTTTCTCCGAATCATTACCCGTGGGGGCGCCTACAATCCACTCACTGTTTTGGCTAATGCTGTTTCGGGGGATTTAAGCAAATTCCTTTACTGCGTTGCTGTTAGAATTCCTGTTCAGGTCAGTAGATTGTGAATTAGTTCTTCTGTTTTCTTTAATCATTTGAAAAAAAAAAAAAAATTGACTGCAAACACTTGTCAACTACATCTTTTCATATCTGCAGCGTCCAAAACCATCATTTTGCTAGAATTTAGAGGCCTCGCTTCTTTAGTCAACTGCTTGACTGCTATTAATCCCCCCTCTCTCACGAACATTCACAAATCCACAGACTCCCACGTTGATTTTACACAATAAATGTATATCAAACGCATGTCAGCTGAAGATAAAACCATAGTGATTGAAGTCACTATCATTTGTGGAGAGCTGTACTGCATCAATCTACATGTGACCTGGTGACTGGTTTTAGGACGGAAAAAAAAAAAAAAAAGCGACAGTGTTTTCTGACAGAAAGGTTCCTACCATGTATGCATTTTAGTTGCGAAAGAGGGGAAAATCCTGAGTGGCCTGTTTATAAACTGATTTTTCATCATAAGTGAAGATCTCTAGCAATCTTGAGACTACATCAATTGATGAGATAACCATGCAAGAAACCACTTACCTTATTTGAAAGTTGTACGTGTACAAATCATCGTCTCTAGTTTCTGCGGTTATTGTGTGGCTGAAAAAATTTTCTTATCATGCATCTCATTCTCAGGATATAATATCTTCGGCAAAAAACTTAAATTGAGGATCAGCATTTCCATGGTTATGGTTCTGTTCCGTTCTTTTTCAGGTGATTGGATCTATTATGGGGGTCAAGCTTATGATTGATACCTTTCCGGAAGTAGGACGGGGACCACGTTTGAATATCGACATTCATCGAGGTGCTCTGATAGAAGGAATCCTAACATTTACAGTTGTTACCATATCACTTCGGCTTGGCACAAAAATCCCTGAAGGTTTCTTCATGAAGACCTGGATCTCCAGTGTCTGCAAGCTAGCACTTCACATATTTGGTTCTGATCTAACTGGTGGTTGTATGAATCCAGCCTCTGTAAGAACTACTATATCTTCCTGATCTTTCGTTTTTTTTTTTTGGTACATAAATCACACAACAAAAAACCCTTCTTTTTTCTGATCAGAAACTTTAAATCACTTGTTCAGGTAATGGGGTGGGCTTATGCTCGCGGGGATCACATAACCAAGGAACACTTCGTTGTATACTGGATTGCCCCTATGGAGGCCACTGTACTGGCAGTATGGACCTTCAAATTGTTAGTACGGCCCGTAAAAGAAGACAAATCAAGCGCAAAACATAAATTACAGTGATGGATAGCCGGTGATGTAACATAAAGCTATGCTCACCTGACGAAGTAAAAGAAACGAAAAGCAAGGGGGATTAAAATTTAAAATTAAAATGAACTCGAGAGAGATTGGATTAGAACTTAGAAGGGAGTCTAAGGTGAAGTGATGTGAAAGGAATATAGCAAAAAGAATGATACAAGGGAAAAGGAGGGAATAGGTGTCACTTGTTCCCAGAGCAAGCTTGAAGAGACAAGGCTGATACAGTTAATATCAGGGCGATCTACATTATAGCGAGGGAGAACAATTGCGTCATTAATTTTCCTTCTTAATGCTCTGGATTTGATGCGTAATTTCCCACCAATATTTGACAATATCCATTCTTTAATGATGCACCCAGTCTTAATAGCCTATGTATCATGCATGAGCTTTCAATTGCAAATAACATGATTATATAATTCTTCCTCCTTTTCCAGCTCAATCCTTTTCATCTCCTCAACCAAAGGAATCAATTATTCATCTCCTATTAATATTTTTGGTCAATAATCATAAAATTAGCTCGAGTAAAACGTGACATGGGGGGAGTCTTACACCAATATGCTTCCTTATCGGTAATAGGAGATCTAAGCGAAAAATCTTGTATTACGTTAAAAACCACGAAAGTCATGGTTTTAAAAAGTTTTCAGTGATCAAAAATGCTTGTAATGTTTAGTATTACCACATTCATCGTCATCACAGAATACCCAGTCCGATACCATATTAACAGCCATAACGGAGTACCCGGTTCGAAGGCGATGTCCATGGACATGGGCTTGAAACAATTCTAAACACCAAAAAAGAAGTTAAGAAATGGGTTGGTAGCATTAGTATCAATGTATTTTGTTTTTCCTTTTCTTCCCTTTTTAAAGGATTGAACAGAGGAAATGGTTCTCTCTGACTTTTAAGCTCATTGGGTGAATGCCCTCGAATAAACGTAAAGTCAAAAATAAAAGAAAACTAGGGACATCCAACTAACGAGCGAACTAATGGACTCTACTGTCATAAATAATACACAAGGCAACATTTCAAAGTTTTCTCAGTGCTGTGTACTCCTCGCTACGTTTTTCACACCAATAGCACTCAGATGAACAAGAAGAAGGGGATCATGAGGGATTTATGCCTGCTCAGTACACAAGCTGTGGTTCAAACTCCGCAAAATCCACAGATCCGGACTCTATTGGTGGCATTAAATATGTAGCCAAGAGCTCAGATGCCAAGCCCGCAATTAGTGGGATCCTCTTCAAGTTCTTCACCAAGGGAATGTCATCAGTTTCACCAACAGCAAGAAGCTTCTGGTTTATCTCCACCATTCTATCCAACTTCCGCTTGAACTCGGGGTTCTCCACATCCAGAACCGCTGGGAAAATCCTCGCTGTGGTGCGGTTTGTCTGCAAATACAGCAATCCAAGAATGCAGCTTTAGTTATTCTCTGAGCTACTGGCTTGTTCTATGATGCTAAGAATATGGTTTTAGTTTTATAACGGACTAATCCACAAAACTCGGTTGCTACAACCATGAATTGCTCAAACTTATTAACAGAAGGTGACAGTGAAATACTGAAATTTATATTTGCAACAATGCTTTCTAAAGTAGGATGCAAGAACATGTAGCATAAACTTACTTCAATGATGACATGCATGTCAAATTCTTTGGTGTCCAACCCAATGCCTTCATAGAAAGCTGTGCGTTGGCAGTCGTTCAGGTACATGGTGACATAGACCTGCGGGATAAAATTGAGAGCTAAGTTTTAGTACTCAGAGATCGAAAAATAATGACCAATCTACTATGAAGACATTTGGCATAAATAAAAATGGGAACAGATCGTCGGGTGTTTTAAGGTGAACAAGATTTTGCATCTTGGATATGCTTGCTGTTAGATATCCTCAAGTATAACTATAGATACAGTTTGATTAATAGATACAAAAGCATGTTAAGCACATTTTTCAGTGGAATCTACTTCTAATATGCTTTGTATCTATCATCAATGAACTGATTTTCTATCAGATAATATCTTTGATATTCATTACACAGTCTTCCCCTTCTCAATACTGCTCTTCAAATAGCAACTTCACAAGGCGCGATGACTGGCACAAAGTATGAAGGTTTCAACACAATACTGTAAAAGACATTGTGTGCATAAGCAAAACTCACTGATAAACAGAAGAAACGGGCCCACAACTTTGCCTTCCAGTCATTGAGAAATTGTGGCTGAGCTTTCATCAAAGCAGAGAAGAAGTCTCCGTGCCTGTTCTCATCCTGGCACCAGTTCTCGAAGTACTTGAAAATGGGATAACATTGGTACTCGGGATTGGCCTTGAGGTGTCTGTATATGGTTATGTATCTCCAGTATCCAATTTTCTCAGACAAATATGTTGCGTAGAAGATAAACTTTGGCTTGAAAAATGTGTACTTTCTAGCCTTTGTCAGGAAACCCAAGTCCAGCGCCAAATTGAAATCAGATAAACCCTTGTTTAGAAAGCTGCATTGAATTTTTAACACTGAGGTCATAAACCATCCAATTGATCATGATAGGAAAAGAAAATTTCGATGGCAATTATAACTATCAAGTTGCGTCTTTACCCTGCATGCCTTGCTTCATCCCTTGACATGAGAGAGAAAATCTCAGCAACCACTGGATTGGTTTTCTGTAATATAATCATTAACAATCCAACCAATTTATCAGTCCAGGAATAGGAGACACAGAACAACACTAAAAAAGTTATTTTAAGGTAAAGCATGAACTACATTCTCAAAGACATGGCTAAAAGCTAATTAAGCCCCCACGTAGCCAAGGAAGCAACGATAATGATAGAGATTCAGCACACAGCGCAACAAGACACGACTAGGTTTTATCGGTGAACTTGTAGTCAAACTGAATTGAAGAGCAACATTTGCCACGTCCCAACTTCCTTTCTTTTTTTTTTTTGGTCTTTTTGGTGAATGGTTTCAAAACTTTAGCAATCGTTTCCATCTTAACTAATCAGAACCTCGATTATCAGTGGAAAAAAAATCAAATAATAAAGTTGAAACCGAGCATCGCACCTTAAGCCTCCTTCCGAGCTCTTTGTAGAGAAGGAAGCCAGAGAATTCGGCAGTGCAAGACCTCTCAAGGAACTCCACGAAGATTTGCCTGAGAGGTCCTTCGATTTTATCAGCAGCCTCCTTGAACTCCTTATTCCTCACAAAATGCGTCTGGTTGTAGTCAGTCTTAAACTCCTGGAGCAGAGCTTCAAACTCAGTCTGGTTCAAGTTCTTGTTAATCTCCGTGTTGAAAAGTGTCTCCATCTCATCAAAGTCTGTGGTGTAGAACCTCGGCGTCAAAAGGGTCTCCTTGATGGCAGTTTTGTTACCTTTCTTGCTCGGCTTTGTGGGTGTAGCGGTGGATGAGGCAGACATTCTTACGATGCTGAACTTGGTGTATGAACCCATCCTTGGGTTCCCGAATTTGGGAGTAACATTGCTGAATTTGGAAATGGGTTTCACAAGAGCCATTTCTGCTGCCATTGATCCTCCGGAGGAAATTCTGCAGATTTGAGCTTAAAGACCAAGGAGTGCCAAAGGGCAGAAGTTGGAGTTATATCTTGGTCGGATGGACAGTCATCGCATTCCATCTCATCCGATGAAATCCGTGACCGTAAATCGAAATTTGACACGTGGCAGCTCTTGTGAGCTCATTCTCATTGAATGATTGGCGGGGATAATTTCATTCGGATCAGATTTTGTGGCCCTCATTTATCTGCGTCTCCATTCTCACGGCCTCTTGGGATATTTATTTTTCATTTTCCGTATTTTCTTTCAGTTTTGCCCCTTCAACTTTTATCACAGTCTAATGAGAAGAACATTACAAAGATTAATTCCCCGTATTAAAAGTGGTCTATGTTTTTCATTGACTTAGTTTATTTTAAAAAATTTGACAACCCTTTTGAGAAAAATTAATCTTTTAGTCCTTATAGTTTTCACTCATTTATAACTCAATTTCTATATTTTGACTTGATGCAACTCAATCCTTCTAGTTTTGACTCGGTTGTAATTCAGTCCTTGAAGTTTGACTCGCTGCAACTCGATCCCTATGTAATTTTATTTTTCAAAAACACAAGCACTAACTTATAAATTTGTGAAAAATAAAATTATATAGGGACCGAGTTACAGCTAGTCAAATTTTAAGAACTAAGTTACAGTCGAGTCAAAACTAGAAAAACTGAGTTACACCGAGCCAATGAGACTGAGTTATAAATGAGTGAAAATTATAGCGAGTAAGGGATTAATTTTCCCTTCCAATTCATTAATATTCTATTCTGCTTCTGTCTTTCTTTCTTCGGGCAATAATCTAGCTCTTTGCAGGTGATATTTTCTCTGATCTTTCATGCGCGTATAGAGGATAAAACAACCCAATGAAGTAACAAGAAGCAGCAGTTCAAAATGGGAACCACATTTCGGCGATATGCTCGCTCTGCGTTACAGGACGCCCTAAAAAACTTGTCTTTTCTTCGGTTCTGGGGTTAAGTGAAGTGAAGCGACCCCATTTGTAGTTTTCACAGGCACCCAACTTTTTCTAGGCCCTTTGTCCAAGATTTTTCTTTTGAGTTGATGGATCTTTTTAGCTATGTTCCTTTTTTCTTTTTTCTTTTTTTTGGTTTACAATGTTCAATGAATATTCTCTTGATTCTGAGGCCTGAGGTGAGATGAGTGGAAGATAAATTACATCCTGCTGAGTGAAATCTACGAATCGATGTAGTTTTCTGTCAAATGTGATACTTACAAGAGTTCTAAGTTTCTCCCTAGTAAATGAGCAAACATCAAATCTAGATCTTAACAAACGGCTGGCTGGAAGAATAGAAGCAAACCTAACAAAGCACCCATTTGGGGAACAACAAACTTTGTGCATTATTTTGAACAAAAAGTGGTGTTTTACAGCTTACAACAGTAACACTTGTTTGACCCTGGCAAGAATGAGAAGTGCAACGTCAGTCTCTTCATTTTCGGCCAAAAATGGCATCAAATAACTTGCATGTAGCTTGCACAATGGATCTTCATCTTCACACGAATCACTATTTGCTCCAACTACTTCATGGTAAACAAGGAATCCACCGGCTGCAGCAAACCTGTTACAAATGTTTATCAAGGTCACTATTACAGAATCACAAATCAAGTTTTTTTTCCTTCTTTTTGGTCACTATACAGGATTACAAAATTTGATTTTTATTCCTCTTGGTTTTGAGTGATATATTGAGTCTAGTTGCCAGTGGTCAAACTTTAAACTCCTGCACGTTCTTGCCATAGATCACTGCAGAATAACTTATTAAAATTTCAGAACTGGCAAAGTTTGGGAATCAAGAGCGACGAAAAAACCTCTTAAGCTTGACAAAGCAAAAGCTGGCTCTGTGGCGCTTAATATGAGCTATTCTTCTTTATCATCGGTTTCCTTGGTCGCAGTTGTTCTGTTGACATCGATGGGCCTTTGGGCTGATTCTCTGACTCCATCTCCAGCTTGGGAGCTTTGTGGCTCTTCCATTTCATCTTCAGCATTGATGCTATGGAAATTTAGCACTGTCGCAGCAGAAGTTCGAGCTGAATCTTTCATAATATCTAGCTCAGCACTGAAAAACGGATCATAAGAAGACTGCCCTTCATCTGGTAATCTCATGCCGAAATGATCATAATCAAAATTTCTCAAAATTTCAGGAATTGGCATATTAATGTCCTCTGCACGCATAGATCCCATTTCAAGGTCACTTTTCTCATGTGGTGTCAGAAATCCCCTGCCTCCAAAATTTGTGGTCACAGACTCAACCCTCTCAGGACGATAATCCAGCACAAAAGATCGAAAATTATTCCTTGAAGCGGGAATAGTGGAGCAAAATGTTTCGTTAATATTTCCCAGCATTCCCATATGGTATGGATTCCCCCTCTTATCATACCGATATCGGAAGTTCTCATAAGTTGTCTGCGCACCAACAAAAAGTTCTAGTATAAGCAAGCTCGAACTAATAAGCAACAGTCTAGGAGTTAAAGGAAAGCAGTCTGCAAACGTGATGGCCAGTGTTGGAAGAAATTATCATACAGACAGGTGTTGTAATAAGCTGCTTATATCTCAAATGCTTGTCTTCATTAATATTAACCTAAAGAAACTCAATCAGCATAGAAGCTACACTGAACTAAGTGCCAACCACGTAAAAGTATTTTCGTCCAGTGACTTCTTTTAGACCTGTTAGATAAGGGCATTTCCTATAATTAATTTCAATTAACAAATGGTCTGTAGCAATGTGGCTTTTGTGAAATTAACAAGAATTCAGTCACCTAACATCTCAGGAATTATTAAAAATTATAGATAAGACCACATGAAGCAGAAGGGAAAATGCATCTCAAAGAATTGGAAGTTCAAACTTTGGAAGGCAAGAGAGTCACCTGGTTTGTGCATATGAGATGGAAATGGAAGATTGTAAGGCCTCCAACAAACCAGACAGCTATAAAGCAGTATACTACAAGAAAATCTGATACATAATCACTTGCTATCCTCTTCCCAAATGAAATGTCACCCTGGGCCAGATTGATACAAGAAAACACGAAGACGTATATGCACAAGATGGTCGATGTTGAAATAAACATGACGAAGAACCTATAGTTTCGCTGCAAAACAACCATCATGCACAAGAATAGTTACTTCCTGTAAGAAACGGCATCGAAAGAAACATGGGAAAGCCCATTAAAACAAACCATTCATTTTGCTAATTCGTACAAAATATAATAAAAATAAATACAGCCAATTTAGCAGCCACGTGAAAAATCAGTTTTATTATTCTTTCCCATCGTCTCCATAATAAGAAGGGTCGGAGGGAGTCACACGCAGTAAGCCTTAGTAACAGTTGATCATCATAACCTCAACCAGATAGAAATTTAAACGGATGGTCCTAGAGTAAACTATGTCTAGGAAAGGGTGGGATCCATCGGCCCTCTCTCAACCAAGTCACTCTAGGTTTTCTCAAAGCAAAATAAAACAGTGATCTAAATTTTCCTGTCAGTCAGTCAAATGGTTTAGAAGTGTTAATTTCTACACCTGATAGGATTTAGGAAGCTTAGCAATAAAATTATACATTCCAGTAACTAAGTGTGCAGAACGTTCTAACAACTCACTCAGTAGATTCAAGGAAAATTATAAGTTTCATCTTCTGCCAAATGGCAATCATCATCCAAGTTTAAAGGGGGAGTCCAGAATCACTTTTATATTATGATTCTCTAAACTGGCTAACAAGCACCATAAAATTGAGGTTTGAATTTTCATACGAATAAAAATGGAACCTGATCTCTTTTTCAAATTTGAAGCGAACTTACAATTCCAATACACTGGCCGACCCAAGGACAGTGGTGATCAAATCTCTCGACACAATTGTTGCAGATGGAACAATGAGACGACCGAGGAGGGCGATAAAGCAAACATGTATCACAGAACTTCACTTTTACTTTATGACCATTAACAATTACATCTTTAGTTCGAGGCAGTTTCAGACGAGGGGTTGAACCATTAATCCACTCCATGGAAGTACTATGCATATCAAATTCTTCATCCATCTCAGGAGGCCTGGAATTCCTAGGGACAATTCCAGGATCTCTCCCAGAAGTCAATAAGAGGAATGTTAAGTCCTGCATAAGAGTTTCTATCAACTTTTACCTTCAACATAATATAATTATGGATCTCATCAACATCATAAAATGAAATCATTCATATGTCTGGGGTTATGGGAAGTATCATTTTTGCCCCTGGGAGTCGGATTCATTTTAATTTTCTTGTCTTAAATGGCATAGTTATAAACTTGGAGAAATCCAAACTTCGACTGAGTTATTTGCAAGTACCTCCCTCAACTATGAAAGCTGAAAGACACCTCCATGCACACCAAATATCTGGATTAAACTCATTTGCTGTCTTAAACATACCATTTTTTTAAGGCGTAAATAACTACAATCCGAACCACATAAGCAGTTATTGCAAAAACAAATCAGCATTGAATTAAGCATACGAGAAATATAGTTGACAGGAAAGTGAGCAAATTAGTTCAAATCCGCGCATGTGAAGGTCAGGAAGGTACTTTCTCTTTCTTATTTTTCTGGGGGTATTTGCATGGAAATTAGAATGATGAAAGAAAAATGTTAAAGGTATTACTGTAAATAAACACAGATTACTTACCAAAACAGCGAGAAGAGAGCCAACAATCATTATAGAATACCAGAAACGAACATCAGCGGTCTCTAGACTTCTGCTTTTAAGATATATCTTCACACAAAATGCAATTACAGGCCCAACAATTAAGAAAATGGTGAGAAATATAGACCCTGCGTCGGGACCGAAGACCAGTCTCCCACCACAGAAAAATTTCTGGAATAAAGGCAAGGAAAAGTTGAATTAGTCGAACATAGCTCACTTATTATAGCTCCTATAAATCCAAGAATACCTCAGCCATGTAAATTGCTTGTTTTCAACCCAACACAACTCCATGAGTGCTCTCAGATGGAATACACTTATGGGCTAAGAAAATCTATAGCCATGAAAATTCATCTATGGCTAAGACATTTTGATTACAAGACAAGAAGTTAACTAAAGGCCTTCCAACTAAAGTTGCAACCAAGTGACTTTAGGAATCACAGTGTTGATGTTGGTGGGCTCACAGTTCATCTGAAAATGTAGCTTTAGGAGGATAGGCATAAGGTATGAATTATCTAATCTCCCACATAAATTTTGTGTAAGCATGGGGAGGCATACTACCTCATGCAAGAATAGAATCTTTCTTGGAGGCTTACCGTATCAAATTGGCAAAGTTTGCATCACAACTTACTAGAAAAGTCGATTTTGCAATTAGAGCAAGCATCCATAAAGATGATTTATGTATGTCATCGATGTGCATGTCAAAAGCTCATCAATGCTCACTCCCTTCCCCTTGGGGGAAAAAGTAGAAAAACCCCATGAAAATTGTCAGTGAGGTCATGTTTCCAAACTCGAGTTTCCAAATTGAAAAAAGGGACTAGTTATAATGAGTTCATGTTGAGTTTGGAATGTGATCAAACATACCTTTCTACATTACAAGCATCCCAACTAAGAGAACAATACAGAAAGCTGAAAATGACTCACATTATTACCCCTCCAGACTTGGTAGAGTCTCCTCGGCTTCAAATTGGAAGACATACTGCCAGGTGGAGAAGACCCCACGTCTAGATTTCTATTCCCATGCATGGCAGCCACCTCTAATATCAAAATTGGTCTTATCTCCTGAGAAAATCCATACTCCAATCCAAATTTCAATCGAGAGGTCCTCTGACAGATTCGAATTCCTTTCTGGGTATCTCAAATTATAATCCTCCCTGGATCGGCAGTTTAGGTGACAATGCAGATGAGAGAAGAGAGAAGGGAAAGAGAAAAGAAAGAATATCCCTGGATCACAACAATTCACGAAAGAGCCTGCAAACTCATAGGCTCATGAAATTTTGTCTCTGAGGCGGATCATACCAAGACGAGAGTCCTCGTGTCCCTTTCTTTCTCCCTTCCGAAGTTCATTTATTTCTCTCTCTCCCTTCAATCTGAACTGCTGGCACCTTGGCGTTCTTGGGTGCATGTTCCAATTCCTTGCGGCATTTACGCGGGTAACTTTTTCTTATTCGTTATGATGTTAGTTGTGACATTTACAAATGGAAGCTAGAGCCTAGCCAGAGCACATTTCTTTTTTTGTTTTTTTTAACGGTAAGCGACGGTACATCTCTTATTCCGTATATTACTATCATGAAAATATGTTTTATTAAACCAAATATGAGTAATTATAAAGAATTTCTGTTATGCATTTGTATAAGGATATTTTGCAGCTGTCTACAGCAGAGTATCCACATCTCAAAGGAGATACTTATTCAATTGTACCCCAAAAAAAAAAGGAAAGTAAAAAAATAAAGGTGATAATGAGAAATAAATAGTACTGCATCTGGTTCTCAATATAAGACATTGTTTGATTTTTATTTTAGTCGTAAATATAAAATCTCAATCTATTTTATCTCTCATATTTATACATTTTTTCCAAGATAATCCTTCTAACAATAATAGTTCTAGCCAATAGACTTGATTAGTAAGGATATTTTAGAAAAAATAAGACATATTTATTACAAATAACTAACTTAACTCCTTTTCTTAATTTTTTCAAATTAGTCAATTAATTCTTATAAATAGGACCGGAGGTAGTAAATGAATATTTTTTTAGAAGCAATTTTTTATATATTATATTAGTTATTCAAAAATAATTATAAACAAAAAAATCAAATATCAAACTAAAATAATACTTGGTTTACTGAATGATACAAGATTTTAACTATAAATTATTTTTATAAATTTTGAATCTATATATTATACTGTGGGAGAAAAACCGGCCGGCCGGCCCGTGTGCGCGTGAATATTTGAGTCGAAATGACCGAGAGGTGAAAAAATTCCGAGCAACGTAGAATATCCCTGAAATATTTTCGAAGTCCCAAGATCAACTTACGCCGAAGCTTGACTTAACAAATAGGTGGCAGTTGAGTTTACCGGCAGAAAGATGCTACTACTTCCTATAATTAATAAAAAAATTTCTTTAACTTTTATTTTAGTCTTAAATATAATATCTTAATTTTCTTATATTTATATATTTTTGTAAAATAATCTTTATAATAATATTAATTTTAGCCAATACACTTAATACACTTGGTAAGAATATTTTAAGAAAAACAAATAACTAATTTAACTAGTTTACTTAATATACTCAAATTAATCAACTAGCTCTTATATTACCAACAGGAGATATTATCCCGAAGAAAGTGACATTTGGCATTTTTTGGTGCTAAATATGAAATAGGACCCACCTTACAGGTCAACTTTTATAAACGGTATAGTACGGACACTTCTGTTGTCCGTTCAACTCAACTGTCTCTAGGACGGTAGGACCAAATTCTAAAAAGGCTGCCCATACGGAAAGAATGTTAGGATTTAGAATGTGAAGGATGGCTGCATAGCCTTCAAACTAGAGTTTTAAAAAAATAACTAAATAAATATATTTAACAATGAAATCTGTGTAACAGATAACGTGTTTTAATTGGGTCTTCACATTTAAAATCCCGAGATTTTGCATTTTCAATTGAAAATTTTCTCATGCAGTTATTAGTACAAATCATAGTAGATTCTATTATGGCGCCATGAGCTTAAAGTGGCGTATTTTATCGTAACAATATAAGAATGAATTTGCTCGTACGATTATTCACAACTGGACACCAGCTGGGCTTAAAAATACCAAATACTACCTTCAGTCATGAGTATAAGACTCTGTTTGATTTTTATTTTGATCATAAATATAAGACCCCAATCTGCTTTGCTTCTCATATTTATACTTTTTTTTTCAAAATAGTCCTTCTAACAATGACATGTCTAGTCAATACACTTAATTAGTAAGAATATTTTAAGAAAGACAACATTTATTTAGGACAAATAATTAACTCAACTTACTTCCTTAATCTCTTCAAATTAGTCAACTGGCTCTTATAATTAGGACCGGAGGTATTATTATACTAGGGCAGTACAAGGGAAGGTATTTATAACCATTCATACACAATGGGGACAACCATAGGAAAATCTGGTGTGTTATTCTTTGACAATAAATATACACTCCACAACCCGTCTATGTGACCAAATGTGCGGAGGGGGGAAGAGAAGGTGGGGAAGGAGATTGATCTGAGACTTGAGAGAGAGAGGAATGCACAAGGCTTCTTTACCCAAAAGAATTAGAGACTTTACAAAATCAATAATCCATTCCGACCACAGAAAGAGAAGACGCCAAGTCATCCATCATCTAGAAATTCCGTTGCATGCGCCAATTTACAATAACCTGGTCAATCTTTTTTGCCTTTTTGAGTAAAGAAAGTATAACCTGGTTTTCATAGGGGGAGAAACTGAAGAGTTACTTCATTTAATTCACTTCGTTTCTTTTTTTTCTTTTCTATTTTCCATTATACATCATTCCATGCCACTTCAGTCACGACAAATCAGCATGCTTACCTTGAAACCCCTTATCTACATATAACCCCTTGCAGCAAATGCCCCAGAAGGATCTGCATAAAAAAACAGACACTGTAAGGTAATCCTAGACACTTACATAAAACACAAGCCAACGCGGTGGCCTTATGGGAACCAACATTTTAACACCAAAACAACATAATCCCTTGCCTTATCGCTTCTACACATACCAACTCATTGTGTATCACTATCTGATCATACAGGTCCTTCCCCTCATTCCTCTTAGTTCATAAATCGAAGCTTGAGGTCATTTTGGAAATGATTTTGCAAGTGATTGATCATTTTCAGGCAATGTCCCAAAAACTAAAAATTATTATTAACTAATTAGGACATAAATTGTGCATCAGAGTATCATTAAGCCTCGTGAAGACAATTGTTAAATGTAAATGGAAACCAAAGAAGATATCAAAATGATACCTCTCTTAAGAAACAGCAATGTAATCTGAAGGAGCTATCGCTTTTCCTTGTATTGTGCAGTGCTGGCTCCCTTTGGCGATTTCTGCTGGGAATATTTTAGCTCTTGGTTAGTAGGAACGAAAATATCAAATGCAGCTTCTTTTTCTCCTGCCTTCTTCTTCAGATGATCATCGATGCTATTGCAGTCCAAATCATTTAACATACTTGGCATTAGCATGTTGCCATCCTTGCCATACTTTCCTCCCATTTCAGCATCCATTTTTTGTTTGGAACTTATAAGGCTTCTTTCAAGATCTGAAGTAACACCTGGTGCACCTTCTTCTGTAACCAACGCTCTGAAGTTGACCAGTGAAGAAGGGATCTTAGAACACGAAATTTCTTTGAAGTTACTTAACAGTCCCTTTGTGTGTGGGTTTTCCTTCTTATCATAGCGGTACCGGAAATTCTCATAAGTTGTCTGTGAGAAGGCAGATGTGAATCTTATGTAAGTGTATAAAATACAGCATACTGATTAATTTGTAAGACACAACTTCAGCTCATAGAAGCAAAAGCCTGAAAGAGATATAAAGTGTTAGGAAGAAAGATACCTGGTTGGTGGAAATCAGGTAGAGATGGAAAACAGTTAGGCCACCCACAAACCAGACACATATGAAGCAGTATACAATGAGAACAACTGATATGACATCGTGTGACATATTGTGCCACAAGGTGCCCTTTCTCTGACGAAGATTAACCCAAGAAAATGTAAACACATATATGCACAACAAGGTTGATGATGATATGAATAGGATGAAGAATGGATAGTTGCGCTGCAAAAATATGAACAGGACAGATGCTGTTAAATTCTGCTTAAGCCGGAGCCGTGGAGAAGAATGAAAGTTAGAAGACTCAATCAAGAGAGAGAAAAACATTAGAAGTAAAAAGTGGCAAACAAGAGTCTCCTGCAAACTACCCCGGTCCCTTGGATCAATCTTCACCAAGGCCCCTTGAGATGCCCAAAAGTTAGATTTCTGGGGGTTTGAAGGCAGATTTGGATAACTTACCAGTCCAATACACTGACCAACCCAAGGGCAGTGGTGATCAAACTTTTGCACACAGTTGTTGCAAATAGAACAGTGTGAAGCACGTGGTGGGCGAAAGAGCAAGCAAGTTTCACAGAATTTCACCTTCACTGTATGGCCATTGACTTTTACATCCTTCACTTTAGGTAATTTGGCACTGAAATTTCTGTTGTCTATCCACCGCATAGATGGTGTATTTAAGTCAAATGCTTCTTCTCCTGGTGCTTTTCTGGGGATAATTCCTGGATCTCTAGCAGATGTTAAGAAGAGAAAAGTAAAGGCCTGCATCAACCATTGAGAAGTCACATTTAAATATCATGGGGAGGCCAAATTTACTCACTAAAGCTAAAGACACTTTACTGACCAAAATTGTGAGGATTGCTCCTCCGATAAGTACAGGATAGCCATAGAGAGGATTGCCCCCTTTGATTGTGTGAAAAAACATTCTCACGCAGAATGTTATCGCAGGACATCCAATTAGGAATGATGTCAAAAAAAGAGATGACGCATCATGACCCAAGACTAATCTTCCGCCACACAAAAATTTCTGACATGCAGAAAGAAGCCTCATTAGAATTCGGTCCACGTGATGGCTTATTCGATCTCTTAAAAGTCAACGACCCTGCAGAATGAATGCTATGATAATAATTCAAGCATTTATCATTCAGAATAGCTTATTATCTCATTAACAAATCACCTTTTTAAAATCAAGCGAAATAAGAGATGTCTGAGAACCTTAAATTTGACTTCAACATGTTCAAAAGGATTACAAAACAAGATTCCCAATTTCATTTATTTAGTTTGGCCAAAAAAAAATTCATTTATTTAGTTGGGAAAAGTGGTCAGTGGGCAGTATGTAGCTGTGGTTTTGCTAAGCTAGTACAAAACTCTCAGCATTGACTTTCTTCTGCCTTAGGAGGCGAGACTAAGTGCATCAGCCAGTACTATTCTTGATCATGAAAATTTTAACAAAAATATGAATGGAACACGCTAACAGAAACAGACATTCTCTCGCTAAAGAATTTCTTAATCTCTTGCACTTCCTCTTTCAAAAGCCAAAAGTGATAGTCTGGTCTAGGAAATATATGGATGAACAAAATTTATCATATAAATAATACAAATGTATATCATTCATGAAGATTCATAGACATCATGTCACCTATATCTCTTTCTCTCGATCAGCGTATTATCCACATAAAACTTTACATTGCTAGTCAGTCTTCTTAGCCACTTTTATAAAGAAAGCAAGTCTCCGACCTTACTTGCATACTATGCTGGATGTGTTGATATCTGGTTTTTTAATCTTCTTAATGTCATATAAGTCGTGCAAATCAGTTTTATAAGTTAAAATCTTCTAGTGTTAACCAACTAGAGTGAGCTTTAAACACATATACACCAATCAGGAAGTCTCTCTCGTATCATTACACAAATTGCAGCTCAGCACAACTCTAATCTCTGTTGCTGAGCAAAGAAAGCACTTAAACATGGAGAACGGCTCCTGTATTTCAAGGCCAGTTATAGATGCCTCTTCATCTATCTCAGTTCAGAAAAGCGAAGTCATGCACCTTCAAGTATTCTCAAGCTCATAAAATACATCAATTTATTTATCCTGGTAACCAACAACAATGGTGCCTTGAACTATTGGATTGGTCTATTCACACCTTAAAAACCCAGAACCTCAACTTGAAACTTTTACTAACGTGGGTTAAAAAGCATATGGGCACATGTAAAATATAATAAGCGTTCACTCCGAGTTGTTCAAGTTCAAACGTCCCCCAAAAATCCCACTAACAGGGCAAGTGACAACCCTCTTATTCCAATGTTCTTGACAACAAGAAGGCATGCATCAATAGTAAAAGGGCAAGACATAATAACAAAAGGGGGAGAGAGGCAGGGAGAGATACATTGTTTCCCTTCCAGACTTCGTAAAGCCTTGTGGGTTTGGGTTTGGGTTTGGAGGGTTTGAGAGAGACTACGGCCATGGAATCAGAGGAAGAGCTGGAGTTATTTCGAGAGTGGCTCATCATAATGAAGGATACACACTCGTTGAAGCTCTCTTGCGATGATCTCCTTTATTCGCAAAAAAACCACATGTAATGTGGAGGGATCGTGGTGGGGCAAGCGAATGAAACGAGATCAAATGGCCATGCTTGGGATTTGGAATATTTCCCTTGTGTCGTTACATTCCTCTCTGTCCGGCCGTCTCATCTCATCTCCCGGCCCTGCTTCTCTTTCTCCTCCTCCTCTACCACAGACCAGCACTCCTGTAACGATCTTTAAGTTCCACCGGCTTTTTCGCGGGCTCAACTAATTTATACGGAAATTTTGTGACGTCGCAGCACGAATTTTAATATGAAAAGAGAGAATGTTTTTAACATGTAGAGTCAATTAGTTCTCTGGCCAAAAAGAAAAATAGTTCGTCGTTTCTCTTCTTTTTTTTTGGGGGAGGGGGCGAAGGCGAAGAGTCAATTAGTTCATCTCATTGTTTATATTTTAATGGATTAATTATTTTTTATCTTGATTCTCTACATATGAAAAAATAATATTTTTCGCCATCTATATATTAAAAAATAATGAAGTAATGTTCAACTCTATTGACAAAAAAAAAAAACGTGACGTTGAACTCTAACATTTATTTAACTAATTTGATTAGACTAATAAAATTATATAAGTTGGTTAATTATAAAAAATATGACATGTTTATCCTAAAACACCATAATAATACTCCTCTGATCCTTAATATAAGACACATTTAAATAATCTGATTAGATTAAGAAACTTAGGTAAGTTAGTTGATTATAAAAAATGTGACACATTTTTCTTAAAATACCATAATCATCTTTCTTAATATCCCATTTTCTTCTTCTACTTGATTGTGGTGGAGGAAGTATTCATAGGAGTAATTTAAAAAAAATTGATAAATATGATGAATGAGTCTTATATTTAAGACTAAAACCAACTGAATAATCAAGTCATATATTAAAGACCGGAGGAGTATTTCTTAATATCCCCTCCTTCTCTCTCTTACTTGATTGTGATTGATAAAATATCAATATAAATAATTTTTAAAAAAATTAATAAATATAAAAAATAAGTCTTATATTTATATTCAAAATTAGTTCACTAATAAATTTTCTTTTTGGCCAAAAAATTAAGAAGAGGTTTTCTCCCAAAAAAAATGTAGCATTGAGGATCCAAGGCCCAAGAAAAGTGAGCAGCATTATGCTCACAAAGCAACTTACAAAGCTCGCAACGTGCTGCGTGTCCGCCTGTCAGCATATTATGCCCTGTTTGGTATAATGGAAAAGTTTTGATGGGAGTGGAAGTCGAAATGAAAGTGGAAGAGGAAGTAAGTTTTAAAGTGTGTTTGGTTTGATCATAGAAGTGTAGCATTATTTTTAATTTATATTAACATTTATAACGTAAAAGTATCAAAATGCCCAACTGAAAAAACTTTCCCTATTCATCGTCTTCTTCACCGGGCTTGCTCCCAAAGAAGTGAACTTCTAACATGAACAAGTTCATCCAGAATCCAAATAACAAAATAAACCTACTAATGATTGATCTCATTGAAATCAAACCCAGAACAAAAGATTAAAAAAATTCATCTTCAACCCCAATATATGGCAGATGCAAAGATGGAGCGATCAAAGGCAAAAGTGAAATAAATCGCAGAAGACGAAGCAAGGGAAGTTGAGATCATTTGAATAGCTTCAGGAATCGCAAGGAAGAAAGGAATGTTGAGATCCAACTCGTCTTTAACATGCAAGGGGAGAGCAAGAAAGGTGAAGAGGTTGAGGAGTGGGAATGACGCAGGGGATGAGGGTGAGATTCAGAAGAATGGAAGGAGGGTCGTCAGTCAAGCATTGTCGTACAAGAGGGGGAAGGTCACCGGCGACCGTCACATCTGAGCTCGAACTTGAAGGCTTGACCTGATCTAGATTTGACGTCGAAGAACCTGATGCTTGAAGGTTATCATTGCCGTCGTGGATGAACAAGAGGGAAGGTTCGCCGATGACCGTCACAGATGCAGCCGATGAAGTCGTTGTCGTTTGCCATCGCTGTCGTCGCAAGAGAGGGAGAGGGAGGCTGAGGGGGAGTTTGGTAAGAACAAAACCAAAATTTCAGAAATATTTCTATAAAATAATTATATAGAGCTGAAATTTTTTATAAAATGAATATATAAAAGAGTTTGTGTCAAAAATGTTTTCAAAAAAGGTGATTACAGGATTATCTAAACATCTCATGAGGCGACAGCAAGGAGAGGGACGGTTCAGGTGGGACAAAATTGTCAAATGATAAAATATATAAGGGTATAATGGTCATGAAATCTCACTTCCTCGGAACCCATCTCGGTCCCCAGTCTACCCAAAGAATTCACTTCCATCATTTTTTATGAAAGTGGGCTCGCATGAAAGTGGCTTCTTACATACCATACAATCTAATTTATTGATTCTACTCCCACTTTCAATTCTCTAACTCCAGTTCCAATGTACCAAACGGGGCATTAGATCTCGGACTCCGTATCACCCCACAACTGAGCTCAAGGCCTTGAATTGTGTACTTTGTCCTCTTTTTGAAATCGGTGACATTAGGGGTCATGAAAAATTGAAAACCAACCCACGGTGCTGGCACGGGGACCCCGCCAAACCGCGCGAGGGCAGAAAAATACGGAGCTTTCGAAAAAGTTAATATTATTATTATCTTTTATAATTTGATTGTTGATCTGTAACTTTAAAGTTATTTTTTATATCATTCTAAATAGTTAGTTTTTGTCATTATAATTTTATAATTTTTTTGTCTGAATAATCCATATACTTCTAATGAGTTTTGATTTTAATTACTACATGAAAACTCAAACTAAACTAAGTTTTTATGAAACTATAGAGACCAAAACTGAATTAAACTAAAAGAATTAATAATGATATTAAGCCTAACAAAATTAAATGGTAATATTAACATCATAAATGTTACTTTTGGGCCCGTCGCCACTTGGCGAAAACCCAGAGAAGATGGCGTCATCTATAAACAGCTTACGCGAAGCAGGGGCCTCCCACAGAAAAACCACGTCAGAAATAAATTGAAAGAGTAACGTGATTTTCTGAAACGGTTGCTTAGGAACCTCCAATACTCATTGCCACTACAAACCTCCACTTCGAGAAGGAAAGCATCCTAATATTGCGAAGGAACCAGAATTACACGATCAGTCATAGAATTTATACTTCTACAACTTAACACATAGTAAATAAGCAGCCTGATCATTTATGTGACAATTCACAGGAACTGCCAAAAGGAAAAGTTGATCTGCCATCTGCTAACTAATAAACATGCGACTTCGCTGGTCAAAAACAAAAAAAACATGCGACTTCGGGACATACTATCTGCTGCACTTGCCAGGTCGTCAGCTTAACGTTCCTTGCTAATACTGTCTGTCAAATTAACAAAAACCTGACAGAGAACAGAACAGTGGAATAATAAGATTTTACTTCTGAAACTTTCATGTTCTTCCTAATGCAACCAAACCACATAGTAACACTGGCTAAATCTTTTAAACCGTCGCAAAGACAAATGCTATTTACTATTATCACCCTTCGGTTTATGCAACAGTAAAGAGAATATCAGAATTGAAGGCAATAAACATTCTATGATTTTTAACGGGCAAATACCGATAATCTGATATTACTTCTGTATTCAGAGTGTGTGTGTGTGTGTGTGAGAGAGAGAGAGAGAGAGAGAGAGAAGCACAAATAAATTACATGTAAACCAAACACACACAAAAAAAAGGCACAAAGATTATTTCCTTCCTCAAATCAAAAGGTTTGTTAATACTCTGTTTGGTATAATCAAGGGGGATGTATTCCCTTCCCTTGACACAGAGATCATGATATACAACACTATATCATTGATAGTTTGATACGATTACTCAACAGCAATTATTATGCTGCATCACTTTCCTTTAATCGAAGGACAAAAATGTTTATTTCTCGTTGATGAAATGACATTTTCATTAAATTTTCTTTTGCACTCCTTTGCATTTTGCTAGCCCAACCGGCTCTTGGCTACAGAATCATCATATTTCCTTCAGCATATAGAAAATTAGGGAAATTAAATTATTTGTTCCGGAGAACCAGTTCCCAAATATGCAGTGTAAATTAGTTACAGGAGAATGACCTTGCAAATTCATAATTGGCATCAAGCACGGAAAAATCGTAATACAGCTCAGGAACCCGAAATTCAAAGAATAGCGGCAATAACATGCTTAATTTTATTCTTTTAAACCATCAACATTATTGCTTAATCCTGGATCATGAAAAAGAAATAAGAAAGAAAAGGATTCATGTGGCATAATGGAAACCAACCTTTTTCACAAGTCTTAAGCAACTGGAAGCCAACCCATCAGCAGGTAATTAAAAAAAGTGATCCCTACATTTTGCTGATCCACATAGGCATTTCTTTTTCCTCTGGCCAGCTTTGAGAGGTAGAACTATTCCATAATCATATGTCAACTCGGTCATGGGAGGGATATGTCTGACTGCATGGAAAGCTATGTGGAGATCAGATTCATGTTTGTTTTCACGCACAACAGGGCGCCAGAATACATTTGGAGAACAGCTGTGGTTCATAAACCGTGCAACATTCCCATAATTCTTTGCTGTTACATAGAGGGGATACGGAATCTTTGGAGCTTCTGTTTCACTAGGAAAAACTTCCAGCTGCTGATAAATGCGAGTAGAGTCAAAGATGTAATCATCTTCATTTTCAACGCCAAGCTCCTCCACTCGAGCATTATCTATGACTTCCCCTGCATACTCACATATAAAAGCTCCTGCACGAATAGGATCCCAGGATCTTAAACCCCACCCTTTATTCTTGGTTTTAAAAACCTCCAAGCGAACTCTCAAGCCACCTTGAGAAACCCTGTTTCGACAAGTTGGCGGGCACTGACAGGAAGGACCACACTCATATATCACCGATTTTAAGTCCAAGAGTACCCCATTTGCAGAAAAGGGGAGATGACCTCCATTCTTTTGAATGCAAGAACAGAAGTTGCTGGCACGGCATCCACCAACACAATTACATCCAGCAGATTGATCTATGGGATTTGCTGGCTTCAAATTCCTGAGAGAAGGGCAGTAGGTGAAATACGCAGGGCCCTTCTCACTATCAACATCATTCACAAGACAAACAGGCACCTTTTCAGCCCCAGAAGTAAGATCAGGCAATATAACCCCAACTCTTGACGTAGACTTCTCGGTCCATTGCTGAATGGATTTCCATGTCATGTATGCTGCAGGCTGCCCAGGCAGCCTGACTAATTTATACTTAAATACACTGAAACCTGATTTTCCTTTTTCTACCCATGAGTGTTGGATCTTGTAAAGACCATCATACACATATATCCTCCCCATAGGGTTAGTAATGTCCTTGAGACCTCTAATTACTCTAACTTCGTTGCTCCGATGCAGACTCTTTTCCAATGCAAGATTACCTCTTTCAAGCTTTTGATCACTTCCATTAGCCCCACCTTGGCCACTGTAAATCAGAACATCCCCATCCTCTGTATTATCTTCATATCCTCCAGACGAGACAATACTTACAGCTAATGGCTCCTCTTCTTGACCGAATTTGACACCCATGTAATCAATTCCAGCCATAGATGGTGCATGCAACCCCACCACACACAATTCCATCCTAAAAAAGAAAATATCCCCAATTTCAACACCAGGAACAGCTCCAATACGTTTCTTACTATTTGTCCGAACCCCTTTACTCAACATAATTGTGCCTGACCTCAAATCTGGCCGCCTTGCCACTCCAGGATTTCCGTCTCTCAGATCTTCAATTTGTGTGATCTTCCTTCTTAACACTTCATATATCATAAGTGTATATGAAACTGAGTCTTTGCCACCATCTGGTTGATTCAAGACATCGAAAACAATAGGATTAACTGACTTGAGAACATCATTTGCTACCGCATCCACATCAACCTCCACTGCTGCAGAGCCACCTCCCTGCCTTCCTTTTTTCTTCTTATGCGATCTAAGCCTTCCATCCTGGCTTCCATCTTCCGCATCTGTTTCATTCACCTCAAAATTGATTTGGCTATTACTATAGCCATCATCATTCGTCAAACCCTTCTTGCGTCTTCCAGATGAACCGGCAACTCCATTAGTAGTAGCCTTAGCTCTTGGCGTTGGTGTCCTAAATGAATTAAGTGGAACCGCAGGCACACCAGCTGCTGGGGTTTGAAGATTTTGTTCAGAGAATCTCTGAGACTCCGGGGAGAAGAAGAACGGGTAGAAGGAGGAAACGCCCGGGGGAAAGGGGCCAGACGGAGAGACTGAAACAAAGGGTGCCCCGCCTTGTGAATTTGAAGACGAAGAAGCATTAGATGGTGAAGGGAATATAGGAACAAGAGTTCGCAATGGCTTAACATTCAAAACCCTGGACTTATCAAAGGACCCATGTGCTGGATTAGAGTCTTGACCCAAACTGTTCTCCATTTATATTTTGAAGGTTTACCGACACGCTCCCCTAACAACAATCTTCCCCACGTTTAATATTCACGCATCTATACAAAACAGAGCAACATGAGAAGGCTAACAAGCATGATGATCGCTTTATCTCAAGAGTAAAGCCAATGGACTGCAATTTTACATTAATTACATACAGAAAGCCACGAAATGACGAAATTAGGAGTCGATGCCAGCACATAACACGTTTCCTGAAACATGCAACGGAATCTGAAGTTAAACAGCGCACGAGAACAAAGAAATCCAACTAAAATGTACACGCATACATAAAAACAAAAGTGAAAGCCGCTAACCAAAAGGAACGCGTAAAAGAGACCACGAAATTTTCACTAGTCGATCAATATGAAAAGAAACCCGAATTAACAACCCCAAGAGAAACGACTGAAAAGGTGACTACAAGAAATAAAAAATGAGAAGAAGCGGTACACTAGGGCACACTCCATCTCTAAACTCTAAAAGAAAACAGAAGATCCATCGACACTACAGATCCGGGGCTGAGAAAGGGCACGACAGAAAATAGGGTTGGACTTCGCGGACTAGATGAGAGTATATAAACGCACGAGCAGGAAAAACATAAGCATACCCGAAAGGAGTTTATCAGATGTTTCTATGCTCGAATTTGAGCTTAAGTCCGGAGGCTTCCCGGCTTTCCCAAACCAAGGCCCTTGTGTGTTCTTTTGAGGAGAGAGAGGGTGATAACAGCCCCGAATATTTTCTTGCCCGTCTCTATGCAGTTCGTGAAATAGTCAGATGCTTCGGAGGATTGGTATGTAATTTGGTACCGTTCTTCTGACATGAGCGTGGCATTATACTATTGGACGGGAACAGACAAACCGTGGGATGTTGATTCATCTAGCGGCTACGATGGAGTGAGAGTTCATTTACCGAGAATGATGATAAAACCAACGGTAGGATTTATCTATTCTGAAGACAGACAAGGTAATATCTAGGGCATGCGATATTTGTCCAGAAAAGGGCACATCAAAAAATACGCGAAGTAAGTATTTAATGTTGTTATCGTCTTATCGATTCATTGTATTTGTAGGCAACAAATCAGTTTTTATTGGAAAAAATATCACTCCGAATTTCTACATTTAAATAGTGTTTTATTTCTCGTTTTTGTAATTTTCAATCCCTGCTAATCACTAGCAAGGCCAGGCCGCAGGCACGGCATGCAGTCCTGTCCGAAACATATATATAATTATTTATATTATAATGTATATTTTTTTCAAAATTATAATATATATGGTATAATATTAATATACTATATTTTATTATACTTCAATACCAAAAGGAACATTACTCCTTTATATTATTAGACTTTATATTTTTAAAGTTTTAGTTTTTTTAAAAAAAATATACCATATTTTTTAACTTTTTTAAATTGTCTTGCTGCGTACTATAATTGTCTTTTAACTTTTACATGTTGATATTATTTCATATATCATGAAATGATACTGGTTATATCAATTTGAATGTAATATATAGATCTTTATAAATTATATTAAACTATAAGTTAATAATATAATTGAACATGTTAATATAGCTTGTATTTTTTTTATACGTTTTGTTATTTTCTCAACTTTGTGGAGGTTGATACAAATCATTTGGACTTTAAGACTTTAATTACGATTTTTTATTGTCTTGTTTTTAATAAATTATGGATATTGTTAAATTCTTAAAGTATGGATATCTATTAAGACATACGGCAGTTTTATGAATTAAGTTGTAAATTTGGCCAAAGAAAGCTCATCCTGCCTAGCCCACAGTAGCTTGATCCAAGATAACTAGGGCTTCTACTGGGTAGGCCTAATGCAATCCGCTCATCTTTCGGGCAGGAGTCCTGTCTGTCCAGCCCAACCCATACACACCCCTAAGAATAACTACGAGCTCGCCATAAAAAAAGTAACAATTTTAGTGAGATCTAACACCCCAGTACTTGTTTATCAAAAAAAAAAAAAAAACCAATACTTCTCTTATTCTCTGTTCCTTTTCACTCGCATATTTTTGTTTGAGGAATCAGGACTTTTTTTTAATGTTGTTAATCAAACAATTTGTTTTTTTTGGCTTAATATGTTTTAATCATTTGGTAGATTTAGCAGGTTAAGTTCGCTTTAGAAGAATTGGCATATTCAGTTTATCATCCTTCTAAGTATTTTTAATATAAAGGAATTTACTTTTTTTTCCCCAACAATAAAGAAACTGACGTTTTAGGCAAGGCAAGCAGAAAAAAATTAAAAAAGAACAAAGAAAAAATAGGCTACATCGGCTAAGAACAGAATACAATTGAAGTGTGGGATTGAAAAGATATCTTCCCCTTCTAATTTGTTGTGTAATACTCAGTGCATAAATGATCATAATCAATGTGCATACCATCAACGTGGTTAATAATGGCTGAGAAGCCTTTCCTCCCAGTCTTGGTTGATCTATATGTGCGTGTTTTTTCACATATTCAAGATGTTCAAAAAATAAGCCGCATTTTTTTGGGGGGGGGGGACAGTTGGCATTATTTTTAATTATAGATTATACTAATTGATGAAAATTTTATTATGAATTATATAGATCATAAATTGTAAATAATACCATTCAATTCCCAAAATGAAGTAGGAGCCGCCAGACCATCACTAATACCCACGACAATAACTATAACTATCATTATCTAAACCTATACAAGTAATCATACATGTAGAAGATAATTTTTCCCTGGCAAAAAAAAAAAAATCATAGCTGATAATTTTGCGTACATTAAGGTTATTGCAGTCTTATTACTCATTCTGTGCGCGTTTAAATTTTCAATCGCTTCACATTAAACATTATTGAGACAGTTCACGCAAAAATAAACGGACGTTTTTATTAGAGAATATTTGTAATTTATCTTTATTTACGTACTTGCTAAGTGCAAAATACAATATCATGATAACCAGATTAGGCGGACTGATTCTACCAATTGGATCGCTGGCCTTTGATTAATCAGTAAAAAAAGACAGAACCGGTCAAATATTCTGTTTTCCAAAGGTTCATTAGTGTTTTCAAAGCTATAATTTATGTACATTCATAATAGCATTCAGAAATAAAGAGACGGGACAGATAATCAATAAACAGCAGGTATGTGCATGTACTACTGCGGTCCTTAATATTAATACTCTTTCGGTCCTTAATATAAAACTCATTTAACTAATTTGATTAGATTAAAAAAGTTAGGTAAGTTAGTTAATTATAAGAAATATAACACGTTTTTCCTAAAATATCATAATCATCTTTCTTAATACCCCTATCCCTCTTCTACTTGATTATAATTGAAAGAGTATCCATATAGGTAATTTAAAGAAAATTGATAAATATGATAAATAGATCTTATATTCAGGATCAAAACCAACTCAATAATTGGGTCCTATATTAAGGACCGGAGGAGTATGAGAACTCATTTGATTTTCAATTTAGTCATGCACATAAGATCCCAGTTCATTTGTCTCTCGTATTTATTCTTTTTTTTTTTACAAGATAGTCCTTGTAAAAATAACAATTCTAGTCAATATATTTGATTGGTAATGATATTTTAAAAAAGACAACACCTATTTATTATAAATAACTAATTTAAATAATTTTTTTAATCTAATCAAATTAGTCATATAGTTCTTATATTAAGTATAAGAAGGAAATAGTATTTTGTTAATGCTAAGAAAACTGGATCTTCCACTGAACTCTTAGTCCTTGGGATGCCAGTTCACGGTCCAGCGACCACGCGTGATTAAAGAGCGAGTGAATCGGTTCTAAATAGTTTTATACTATCGCGATTTTTAATATAAAAACTGATTAATTAACTAAGCAGATTAAAAAAGTTAATTAAATTAGTTATTTATTATAAATATGTGCTGTCTTTTTTAAAGTATCATTACTAATCAAATATATTGGTTATAACTACTATTATTACAAAAATTACCTCACAAAAAATAGATAAATATGAGAAATATAGTGAATTAAGATCATATATTTAGGATCAAAATAAAAGTCAAATTGTCTCTTATATTAAGGATTAGAAATAGTGCAATAGTTTAAAAAAAAGAGAGAGAAAGCAGCATAACTAATTGGCAATGCAAAATTAGTTGACGTTTAAAATGACAATCTTTAGTATAAAAGCTAACTTCATATTTAATTTAGTCATAAATATAATACTTTTTTAGTCATTAATATAGAACATAATTCTTGAGTTGGTTCTGGTTCTGAATATAAAACTCATTTATCGTATCTATCAATTTTCTCTAAATTACCCCTATGGATACTCCCTCAACCATAATCAAGTAGAAAAGGGAAAGGGGGTATTAAAAAAGATAATTATGGTATTTTATGAAAAATGTGTCACTTTTCTTATAATTAACAACTTACCTAACTTTCTTAATCTAATCAAATTAGTTAAATAGGTCTTATATTAAGGATCGAAAGAGTCTCTTAATCATTTTGTCTCTCGTATTTATTTATTTTTTTTAAAATAGTCATTATAATAGTTACATATTTTAAATGCTATAATATGGTCATTATAATAGTTATATATTTTAAATGTTAAAATAAACCGTAGTTCTAATTAATATGTAATATGTGACTAGACAAGTGTTCTGGGAAAGATAACAAATATTTGTTACAAATAATTGAGCTATAAAACTTCCTTGACCTACTTAAATTAGCAAACTAACTATCACCTCTGATCCTAAATATAGAGCTAGTTAACTGATTTAAGTAAATTCAGAAAATAAGTTAGGTTAATTATTTGTAATAAACACGTGTTATCTTTCCTAAGATATCAATCAAGTGTACTGATTAGAATTGCTATTATTAGAATGATTATTCTAAAAAAATACTTAAATATGAGAGAGACAAAGTGGATTAGGATCTTATATTTTTAACTAAAGTAAAAGTTAAATGATATCTTATACTAATGACCGGAGTTAGTATTATATTAAGGACCAAAGGTAGTATGTAAAACTATAATGATCCTTTTTGTGCAAGGGATTAAAAACACCTATAATCATATTTCACGCAAGTCAAAATAAAGTTATTTGGACATACTTATCTCATCTTCTGTAAATCATGATTAAAATTTTATTTATAAGCTATTTTAAATAGACCCAATGTCACAAGTAAAAATATATTTTTAAATTGCTTAACTTTATTTAACCGTTTATTTCATTTTTGTTCAGCTTGAATTAATTGTGAAGCATCTTTTATTCCATTTCAAATTTCCTTTTATTTGTCCTTAAAAATTTATTAATTTTATAACATCTTTCAATCTCATCCCTCAATGTATTTATTTTTATCTCATGACTTTATCTCGAGTCCCATTTTTCCTTGGTATTCCCCTGTTTTATTCATTTATTAGTACCTTTTTAAAAGAAAATTTGATTGCTCCAGTGATACTATCAAAATAAAATATCTGAAATATTCAAGCGTTGTATAAATTAAAAGTCACGATCCCATGAAAAATTTGAGCCGGCAGCACAGAAATGAGAAAAAACCAAGGCAAAAACAAAAATAGACTCGCTGTGTATGCATCTAAAAAATGTTTGAATTAATTTTTAAAAAATAATTTTATGAATTTTAAAATAAATACGTGAGAATAATTTTGTCCCCACTTATATAATTTTAAATGGTTTTGATGATTCCCAAACACTTACTAATTTTTATTTTTTTGCCCATATTCAGTGACATTGACTTTCTAGATTTAAAATTTTTAACTCGTAATCTTTTAAATGGTATTTTCTTAGAAACTATAATTAAAAAATTATTTTTATCTCAGACTTTGTATGCATACTGAAATGAAAAGTTATTTATAAACATAAATCATCCTTCTCGATAAAAAGAATTACCACAAAATTTAATGATGAATGAGTAACATAGATTTTATTGTCGTTGGAAAAAAATTAATTGTCACTTATTGCGCGCAATTTTATCATTTATTTTTTACGAGGCTTTTTCATAATTATACTACCTCTAGTTCTTAATATAAGACCTCGTTTGACTTTTTGTTTGGTTCTAATTATAAGACCCCAATCCATTTTTTCTCTCATATTTATGTATTTTTTTCTAAAATAGTCCTTCTAATAATGATAGTTCTAGCCAATATACTTAATTAACAAGGATATTTTAGGAATGACAACACTTATTTATTACAAATAACTAACTTAACTTACTTCCTTAATCTTCTCAAATAAATCAATTGGGTCTTATAATTATGACCGGAGGTAGTATTATTTTTAAATGACGTAATGACTTAAAAAAATGCACGATATTGATAGGGGTCGGATCATCACTCATCAGGCTTTGTACGGGCATCATTCGCGCATATTTATCAAATCTCAACAATTTTTTCCCCCGCTTTTTAACTTTTTCTGAGCTCTTCCCTGACACCTATGATTGGACGAGCGGAAACCGGCAAGTCACCGCAGATGATGTAATATTTGGCGGACATCACGTGTGCGGACGTTTAGTTGGGTTCCTGGGTCAGTGGGTCTTCTCTTGAACAGAAAGCGGCAAAAAATCTACTCAGGGACACGATGGAAAATCCAGGCCAGAATGATCATTCCGTTTATAAAAGCCCGATGAGTGGGATGGGCGGCCCTTCCCAGAAACAGGAGTAGAATGACACAAACGCCCTTCTAATCTTTTTAGTTTACATATTAAAATAATTACATATCTGTTTCATCTATTTTCCTACTATTTAAAAAGATAATATGTCTCTTATACGTGTTTTGGAAAAAAATTTAACTGATGCTAATATTTCACGTAATAGGACCAAACAGAGATTTTAATTGGCAACTGAGAGTGCGGCGTTTTGAAACCTTCCTTTAAGTTAGTCTTTGGATGGTTGGCTTGATGATTCAATTGTATGCTGTTTATTTAGTTCTAAATAAATAAATGTAAATTAAAACTAATATTTTGATTGTCACAAAATAAATACATCTCATGTGAAATCTAAATTAATTGGTTTTTATTACGAGTTTTAAAAATATCAATGAAAAATTTATAACCAGGATCTAAAAAAAATACAGACGATTCAAATTACGCCGAGAGAAGTATTAGTTAACAAACTCCTGGGATAATAAACCTAAACAATTTTTTAGAGATCCTTATAATTAAATCCAAAAGGGGTGCATCCGATAACCTGTTTGATGACGATGGGATACAGGCAGTGACTTATTGTGGATAAGTACGGGAAGTCAGCAATTTTCGAAATTATCATCAAGCGCTTTGAGTAAACGCAGGGGCTTGACAAAACGAACACGCGTGACTCGTCGTTTATGTGCCTTCATGATTGGAGAGGACAGCATTTTTATTATTTAGGGGAAAAGAAGTCCAAAAGCTATATCCAAAAGTGGGCCCTATCTTCACTTAGAATATCATACATCATTGTTAAAATGGATAGTATTCTTTCTCTCTCTTTCAAGGAATAACCATGTCTTGCTAGTGGATGATTGATACAGTTTACATCCCTTCAAAGGAAAAATGACCTTAGCCAAGCAAATGAAAATAGGACCAAACAAAGCAAACAGAGAAAGAAAGGAAAAAAAAAGACATGTTGCTGTCTCGCATTTTGAGTTTAAAGCTTTTGCTGTGTCAATACTCTCGCGGTTTTACCATGTATTTGATCTTAAAAAGATATTACTGCATTTGATCTAAATATAAAAACTAATTTGCAATACAAATTGTACTACAAATTAAATTTTATATTACATTCTGTCCTAATTATAAAGCCATGTTTTTAGATTATAAATAGAATTTTATAATTAGGGCCAGAAATATATTTAAAACTGGACAAGTATCGTAAGCCAATGGTGTGTTGCCACAATAATGCTAAAATCCTCACTGGAAGATGCCCAAATAGGTGGATATGTGTAGTGTGTTTAATTTATTACGAAAAAATCTAAAAAAAGATACTCCCTCCGTTCCTTATTATAAGAAACGAATAATTGAATTATGTTGATCAAAAAAACAGTTAAAATTAGTTAAGAACAATCAATGTGTAAAAAGTATAATTTTTTTTCCAAAAATACCCTCATTAATAAGGAGAAAGAACATGAGAGAGAACAATGGTAAATTATTAAAAGAAAGAGAAGTGGGAAGGAGAGAGAGTGTGAGTTGAAGACAATAAATATGGGTGAAATAGGAAATCAACACAAAAAAGTAGAGACAACTTTTAAGTGTCTCTTATATATAGGAACATGCCATAAGAATCAAATGTCTCTTATAATAAAGAACGGAGGGAGTATTAATTAACGAGTGGTGCAAATTTAATGCTGGATCAGCTTGTTTTGGCTAAGAGATTAATCAGAATGATCATGAATCATAAGTTATTCCTCAGCAAACACAATTCATCAAATGCATTTTTTATTCCAATGCAAAAGACAGTTTGAAAAATTAACCTTTTAAAGGAAAAATTCAATGCCAAATTTTAAAAAACTAATAGAATATCAATGATTGAGTAATAAAATCAGTACAAAATATAAAAAAAACTTAGACAAACTACATAACTCAAGAACAGTACAATAAAAGTAATCCAGTATACAAATCAATTTGACACTGTTATTTCACCTGACTTATTCTAATAATCAATTGATATTCAAATTGCTAATACACCAATATAAAATTTATAGAGCTGAGCCTGAACTGGTAATGTTTTGAGCACAATGGTTGATAAATCTGCCCGATTTTTAAGGAAATTACCATAATCACGGATTTTTTTTTTTTTTTACCAGCAATCGCGGATTTGTATGAAACTGTGAATATGAATCATGGTGTTATTTACCTTCAAAGTCAAATTGTGTTGTTGGGCGCACGCGCTGTCACTGCGCGCTGGCTTAAAACCTAGACGGCAGAAACGATGATGGGGTGTCCAGAGCCAGAGACGCAATCTAATGGCTTAGACCAACAAAGCCGTTAAGTCACTCTTTAGTTTTTCAGAGTCAATTGTCACATTTCATTATTCGCGACAGCCAAGATTAGCCGCAACTAGCGTGGAAGCAAAGGCAAAACCAAATCCATGTCCGATAGGCCATTTCTACTTGCCGATCCCACCTTCTATAAAGAGACAAACCTCCAGGCGCTGATCCTCATGGGTGACTCACTCTCTCTTTGAAGTTCTCGCTCATCACTTCCCTCGTCTGCCTGTAAGTCGTGAATTTAGACTGACTTTTCGGTAACACAGCATTTCGATTCTGATAATACGGGTGATCTTCTTCTTCCTCTTCTTCTTCTTCTTCCGTTCTTATTCACCTGCAATTTCGTCTTGTTTTAAACCTCCTTAAGGTGAGCTTACTGACTTGCAGCCAACAGTCAATTCCTCCGGGCTTCTGAGAGGATTGGTCAATTCTTTTGTGAAAAGCTAGTTCCATGCATCATGCAAGACTAATTCAAAACGAACAATTTGAGATTATTGAAAAGTTTTCAAATGTTCAAATGTCTCTCTTTTTTTCGTGGGACTGAATAGTTCTGATTAGTCTTAGCCGCAACTTTTGTCGAGCTCTGCATAGTTATCCAACTTTCATCCTTTTCTCGTTCTCGGTGTTTGTCATGTATGTCTAAGAGCCAAAAAGAGAGAGATGAAGGGAGGAAGGTGTCGGTATTTTCTGTCAAATTGTAGGATATAGTGCATGTGACGCATTAATTGTCACCGAAGTTTCTATTGTTGAGCATTCCTTCTCCTGATTATCTGGAGGGTCATTTTGTTGTTAGCGTTGATTTTTGTTTGCTTCTTCTATCCCTGCTATGTACTCGTAGTCATCCTATTAGCTTCCATTACCTTGTGATGTTTCAGGTTGTGTCTAGATTGAATGTTGTGAACAAACTATGGGTTCCAAGCCTTCACGCAGTGTTGCTCTGATCCAACTCCTTACAGTGTTTTATCTTCTCTGTCAATGCTTTGCTGTTAAAGTTGATGCAGAGCAGAACGCTGCGCTAGTTGTAGATGCTTCTGGTGCATCTGGAAAGCCCATACCTGAAACATTTTTTGGAATATTCTTTGAGGTGAGCAATAAACCTGTACCCTGGGATTGAGTTCCTTTTTTTCTGTTTGCCTCATTTTTTGATAACTCTGGCAGCTGTAAACTTATTAGCTTGTAGCATCAACCTCCAATGTTGGTCTCTCTGTTCTTATTTATATGCTATGTTTAACGTATAATCTTATTTCCTATTAAATTCATTAAGTTAGACACGTCAAAGTCTTTAGAACTTTTCTATTTCTGATTTTGGGCTCCAGACCTGAAATTATGTATGAAAGAAAGAAATAAATGAGTCGTCAATCCTCTCTGTTAGAACTGTGTAATCATCATCTGCGTGAAATTATGCTTGGTTAAACTTACCTATCCTTCAGCTAATTGTCTTGTTTTATATTTCTGGACATTTCTGTAAGTTTTCATAGTTGATAGAGTTGTATGAGGATTCAATTTGATAATCCAGCACATTTCATATCTTGGAGAATGATCGATTTTTCAACTCTGTTCTGCAGGAGATCAATCATGCTGGTGCTGGGGGATTGTGGGCAGAGCTTGTGAGCAACAGAGGTCATATCCATGTTTATAAACTTTTAAAAGTGGAAAAAATTATGCTGAAAGAACTCTCTCATGATTTACTTTATAATTTTGCTAGGTCACAACTTATGTTTATAATTGCACAACATTCCTGTGATCCTACTATCCCTTGTACTTAATTCTTGTTAAGAATAATTAAGCATTTAGGAAGTTGTGTAGGCGAAGGAAATGTTTACCATGTTAAGAGGAAGTGTCTTTGTGGTTATAGTATTAACATAAATAGAAATTGGGGAGACAGTGTCAAATACAATTAAGTATTCTGGTAATATATTTTGTTTGGTCCCTTCCTCTTCCCCCTAACCTTGTCTCTTATCAATGAAAACAGAACAAAAAATGATGACTGAGGATAAAATTTTAAAAAAAAAAAAAAAGACTAAAATTTTACAGTCAGATATATTTTGACCATCTTCAGGCATTCAGAGTTTTTGAAATTTTCTTTGGTATTCTTGGAAAAATGAACAGTCTATTGCATACTTAAGTTTTTCTTTTTGGCCTATAGTAGGTTCAAGTAAAGAAAAATATTTTGAATGTTGAGGTTTTATGAAAATTTGTTTCAGGTTTTGAAGCTGGTGGTCCTAACGTTCCATCGAATATTGATCCTTGGACAATTATTGGAAATGAATTAACTATAAATGTATCAACTGATCGTACCTCATGCTTTGAACGTAATAAGGTAGCAGTACGATTGGAGGTTCTCTGTGACAGTGAAGGTGACAATACCTGCCCAGCTGATGGTGTTGGCATTTACAACCCCGGTTTCTGGGGCATGGTGAGCCTAATTGATACTCTTCACCAATTAAGATCATGATTTTAAATCTATGCTGTTTTATATTTTCAATCGTTAACTCACTTATTCTTTTTCGTGGTTGGGATTGAATGCAATTTGTATCTTGGTACTTTTACCTCCTTTCAGAATATTGAGCAAGGGAAGAAATACAAAGTGATCTTCTATGTTCGTTCCACTGGACCAATTAATCTGAAAGTTTCATTGACGGATTCTAATGGTGTAGCAAAGATTGCTTCGACTGACATCAAGTGAGCTTGATTTTAACATGCTGTTGCCTGTAGAGGCACAGCAGTGTGTCCCCAAAATACCATGTTTTGTATTTGTGAGTAATATAAATAGTTGATCTTGCAGAGCTTCTGCATCTGATGTTTCAAACTGGACAAAGATGGAGACTGTACTAGAAGCGAGTCAGACAAATCACAATGCAAGACTTCAATTCACGACAACCAGCAAAGGTGTACTATGGCTGGATCAAGTGTCTGCTATGCCCACAGACACATATAAGGTCTGTGTTTCTAAGCAAGAAAAGCTTTTATAATGACCATAATTGATATTGCACTAGCAATCATGTGATGAAACAACAACACCGTTCCACATGTAAGGTTAATGTTTATCTTTCCGTATCTCATTTCCAGTGTGTGAACTCTAATTTAATATTTAGCTACATCATAACCTTAGAATTAAAGGTACAATGACGGAAATATTAAAAACACCCATGTACTCTTGAAATTCGACATAAGAGATGGATTGCAATTCTGAAAGTTCAACATTAAGCATATGTACATAGGTTTTGCTTAAATACATAACTTTTTGAGTCAATAGAATCTGTTGCAATAATTTAGCTGCAAAATAGGATTTCTTATTTCATTAGCTTGAGATTTTCTTAGTAACATAATTAATTTGATCTTTGACCAGGGACATGGTTTCCGGAGTGATCTTGCCAAAATGCTGGAAGATTTAAAGCCAAGTTTTATGAGATTTCCAGGTATAACAAAATGGATGTTCTCGAGAGCCAGAATGGCTGTTTCCCTTTTTGCCTTTTTTCTTTTCTTTTCTTTTCTTTCTTTTTCTTTCTTTCTTGTTGTGTAAAAGGGTCAATTATGCCAGAGAGCCTGATTTTATGAATTTCATGTAATATAGTGATCTATCTATCTTTTTGTTATCTTAGAGTATGTTTTATAGCATCTCAAGGCATTTCTTCTGATAATTCCCTCTTCCAGTTTGAGTAAGTAGTGTTGCAGCTAACTTCTTCTTCTCTAACATTGCTCTAGGTGGCTGTTTTGTTGAGGGAGAATGGTTAAGAAATGCATTTAGGTGGAAAGAAACCATTGGACCTTGGGAAGAAAGACCCGGGCATTTTGGTGATGTTTGGATGTATTGGACTGATGATGGACTTGGCTATTTTGAGTTTCTTCAAGTAGGTTTCTTTTTCCAATCATGTGATTCTTATGTTCGTATCTCATGGAAAGTTTGCAAACAATTGAATGAGGTAATTATAATTTCTCTCTTTTTGAGCAGCTAGCAGAGGACCTTGGCACATTGCCAATATGGGTATTTAACAATGGTATTCTTGCTATCTTAAATAAAGTTGATTGTTAACAAAGAAAATGGTGAATTTCTGCTTTTACTGATTGATTCTCTCATTTCAGGTATCAGCCATAATGATGAAGTTGACACATCCGCCGTTTTACCTTTTGTGCAAGTATAATTTCACAATCTTCTCTTCCCTCCTCATAACTTTTTCATTCCCTTTTGTTCCGTGTTGCCTTAAGAATTTTAAGAAACATCTCTCTTGTGGGATCTTTATTGCAGGAAGCCCTTGATGGAATCGAGTTTGCCAGAGGTGATCCAACTTCAAAATGGGGTCGCGTTAGAGCTGCTATGGGACACCCAGAGCCATTTAACTTGAAATATGTTGCTATCGGGAATGAGGATTGCGGCAAGAAAAATTACCAAGGCATGCACATGTTTCTGATAAATCCCTTTATAATGCATATGCGCCTTTATCAAGATATTTTAACATAAGGCTGTATATATTGTGACGAGTTACACAATCATTGATTTATCTCTTAATGCATATGTGAATTCACTAATGGAAGATTTGCCTCAGCTAGGTTTTTTTTTAAAAATACTTTTAATGAGTGGCCTTGTGTATCTGGTTTCCTTCATGAATTAGTTCTCATTACAGTCTTCTTAAGGTATTTTGTGCTGTGCTACACAGAGAGTTGAAGTTGTTTAGATAGAATTTTATTCATCTGCAGCTTTTCCGCGTCGCATATAACTTTCTTTCCTCCTTGCAAATTAGTTCTATGTTGATCCTTTTGCTCTTCCTTTTTTCCCGATAATGCATAAGCAAGAACAAATCCTGTATTTAAATGACACTTGTTTTCCTTTTAACTCTTTGATTGGCCAGGAAACTACCTTAAGTTCTACAATGCAATCAGAAGTGCCTATCCAGACATCCAAATGATCTCAAATTGTGATGCTTCTTCTAGACCACTGGCTCACCCAGCTGATTTTTATGATTATCATGTAATGTTCTGGTCTACTTCATATCACATGTTTGAGAAATAATGTACGCATTTAGTTTTTTCCGTCCTTTTCTGGTTGAACTTAATGTTTCATCCCTTCTTATACTCTAAATGAATAGGTTTACACTAGTGCCAATGACATGTTTACAAGGGCTCAGGTATTTAACCGCGCATCACGTGACGGTCCAAAGGTATAGTAGTCCTTATCGAACAGGATTCTTGTAGCGTTCTGTGTGTGTGTGTGTGTGTTTGGGGGGGGGGGGGGCTGATGGATGAATGCTCAAGCTGTTTGAATTCTCTACAGGCTTTTGTCAGTGAGTATGCAGTCAATGGAAGAGACGCTGGGACAGGAAGCCTTTTAGCAGCCCTAGCTGAAGCAGGATTCCTAGTTGGACTAGAAAAGAACAGGTTTAAATCATCTCTTGAAAAAATGTCGTTCTACTATTATAAGTCTTATCTAGCAGTTTGACACTATTTGGCAAACTATTTAAGATATTAAATCATACACACACACACACACACACACACACACACTGGAATTTCCAGATTCTTTATCAGTTCCTGTGAAGAAGACCGCCTTAGCTCTCTGTTCATACGTAGAGGCTGGTGGCTAGTCAATATTGGATACGAATTAAATTATGTAAGCCATATGGAGATGTTTTTATGATAAGATATTATTCGCAAGTAACCCATGTAATTGAGCTTAGGCAATGCCCTAAACAGGCCTGAAAGAATTAAATATGGGCTAAAGCAAGCCAAGCCTAATGTCAAGTTTTTTTTTTTTTTTTATATACCTAATGTCAAGTTTAAATCACCTCTGTTAAGTGAGCTGCATTTCAAGCTCAGGAATTATTTCTTTCTCCTCCAGCAAGGCACCATACATATCTGTCTTGATGAAGTATCCTTTAACTGAGAATATACGCATTTTTCGATCCTAAAATTATGTTACAGTAAGCTAGTATGGATCTAAGCTGCCAATTAACTTCACCACCTCATATTCAACTTTTTCATTTGTTCTTTTCTGATGCAGTGATATCGTCCACATGATTAGCTATGCTCCGCTTTTCGTGAATGCGAACAACAGGAGGTATTTCTCTCATGTTACGAATGAGATCTCTAACTTCTATAATCCAAACATACCCAGAATTTATTACTCCTCTTTATTCTGACAGTCCATAATCCAAAGATACCCTGAAAAAGTTAGTTGTGTCTGTTCTTGTCATGACCATACTCAAATTCTCCGGTTTCTGTCATTAGGTGGAACCCAGATGCAATTGTATTCAACTCCTTTCAGTCTTATGGAACTCCTAGCTACTGGGTGCAGAAGTTTTTCTCAGAGTCAAGCGGAGCAACACTTCTTAATTCATCACTTCAGACAACATCTTTCTCACTTGTTGCATCAGCAATTTCTTGGCAAGATTCTGCAGATAAGAAAAATTACATCCGAATAAAGGTAAAATAACAGATGACTTTTGTGTTAGTTATATTCATTTCTTAGTCATCTTGCATACTTTTCCAATTGAGAATCCTGTTCTTTTCGCCCTGTCTTATAGTGATAAAGCATCAGTTGGATTTGCCTAAGCCTCTCTTAACTTTATGATCAACTATTTGTGTTTATTAGCACCATAGTCACCGTGGAGCAATTGTGCAGGTTGTGAACTTTGGAAGCACGGGGGTGAATCTTGAGATTTCTGTCAATGGACTGGACCAATACTCTGCAGAGTTAAGTGGGGCAACAAAAACTGTGCTCACATCTGCTAAAGTAATGGATGAGAACTCCTTCTCTCAGCCCAAAAAGGTAGCTTAAGCTTCTCTCTCATTTAACACTTGAAATATATGATCTTCTGCATGAATTTAAGGTTTGGATTCTATCCTGTAGATTTCACTCATATCTCAAGTCCTTGTATCAAAACTAGGCTTAAGTATTGTTTGAGAATGCGAACCATGCCAAATAAGCTTATGGTATTGTTCTTGTCAAAATGGATACAGGTGGCGCCAATGCAAAGTGCACTTCAGACTGCTGGGAAGGACATAAATGTGGCACTCCCACCATATTCATTCTCTTCATTTGATATATTGAAAGCATCCAATACTCTGGAGATGCCAGGGAGCGATTCTCCCACAAGGTCTTCTATTTGAAGTGTCTAGATATTTAAACTATCGTTAAAAATAAAAGGGGGAAAGGGAAGGAGGGTATTCACACGCATGGTCTTGTGCAGTAAATTCCCATTAACTGTACTAGTTGGCATCTTTGCTAGCCTCTTACTTATGTAATTGACCCCTTCTATGTTGTAAATAAAAATTTGTATGGTTTCAGCTTTATATAGCCCTGTTTCGAATTTATTTATGTTTTGTTGCCTTTTGAAATAATTTTGCAGAACAATTTCTTGGAGTAGTTCCGAAGAATTACAGACACGCACCTTCAAATTTAGGTTACAAAACAAGTGAGAAGAATGGAAGTAGTTAGTTTAATTCTGCACTAAGGGGGAAAAAATATTGTCGACACAGACGAATGTGAATGCTGATGCATCACAAATTTAAATCTTTTCAATCTTCGATTATTTTGTTGTTCATCATCCAGCCATCCCAAATAATTTATGGTTAAGGGAGTTCATATCTCTGCACCAGCTGACGCTCTAATGACAAGGGATGCGAATAGTTTATCAATTAGCTTTAAGTTCAATTCATTATGATATGAATTTACCAGGATCACTAGAAGCAGCAGTTAGTTTTATTCTGGAGGGACTTAATCAAGCATCTAATGAAACCAACTATTCTATGAGTCTATCAGAACGATGTGTGTACTTCAAATGAAATGCCTGCCTCAGTAATAGAAATTCAAGAACGAATTGAGAACCAATGCATTTGATTAATAAGATAGAGATTGTTGATAGGCGGATAACAAATAATAATGACAATTATAACCAGCAAAGAAAAAATTGCGCTCTAGTTCAGACATTTTTCAACTTCTTCATTTTAGAAGGAGGCCATCTACCTTTCTTCCTGAGTCTCCGCTTTCGGACAAGCCTTTTCCTTCGAAGCCTTATCTTCTTCGCCAATTTCATCCTCAACTTCTGCTCTTGCCTTTCCTGCAACTTCGATTCCAAGGGAAGTTTGTCAACTGGCACAACCTCTTCCTTCCTTTCTGTCGTGGATCCATCATCAGCTGCTGAAGCTTCCCCATCAGCATCATCAGAAGCAGCTCTAACAATGACCGCACTTACCTTCTTAACAGGGAATGCTGTTGCAACTCGAATTCCACTCGAAGTCCTTGGAGACAGGTCGATGGGTTTGAGGTGCAACCTGGAAACTAATCCACGATACAGATTTTCATTTCTATTTCTTAATTTCGTAGCATATGAGAGGAAATAGGTTCTTACCGGCGGTGGGAGTAAAGGCCAAAGTCGGTGAACAAGAAGAAGAAGAGAGAGTGAAAGAATTGAAGCAGAGAAGAGCCATTGTTTTCCTCCGGGGAATGAGGTCGGAGAAAGATGAACGGATAAGCCGCACCCGCGTGAGGTCCTCTCCTGGCGTTTTGGTCTGCCCTTTGTTTTGTCCGGTTTGGATGCTGCTGATATCTATTATTATGATCTGAACCGTCGGTTCATCCAACGTCTCAGATTTTATGTTTTTCTAGCCCTTACACATAAGTGTTGTGTAATTAATTTACATTTCTGGACTTTCCAAGCTTAACATCTCTTATAGAGGATATAATATAGTATATATCGTGCTGATTTATTAAAATTTTTTTTTATAAAACTAACTAAATTAGTTATTTATAAAAAATGTGTATTAATTTTTCTAAAATTATTTTTAATCATCTATATTATACTATATCATTGATGAAAATTCATTTCAATATAAATTAAAAATATATTTTATAAACTTTTTTGCCAACATATTTAGTAAGCTTAAGGAAGTATATTAAAATTTGATGTAAGTTTAAAAGATTACATATATGCTGATCTAATTATTAAGTTGATTTTGATCCTAAATATAAGACCTGTTTCTCATAGTTATCAATTTTTTCTAAATTACCCCTATGGATACCCCTCAGCCATAATCAAGTAGAAAAAGAAGAGATGATATTAAGAAAGATGATTATAATATTTTAAGAAAAACATGTCATGTTTTTTTTATAATTAACTAACTTACCTAACTTCTTTAATTTAATCAAATTAGTTAAATAGGTCTTTATATTAAGAACTGGATGAGTATATATATTTTTAATCTATCACAAACATATAGTCAACATGGTCCATGTCTTTTTTTTCCCTCAACATGATACATGCCTCAAACTATAATTATTATGTTACCCTGTCATTATCTTAATTATCTTGATCATTAGATTAAGGGTCTATTTAGAATAATTTATATAGGCAATTTTTTAATCATTATTTATAAAATATGAGATAAGGATGTAAAAAAATTTCATCTCGACTTATATAAAATTTAAATAGAGCATAAATTAAAGTCGTTTTTTTTTTGTTGGCCATCTAATTAAATTAAAGTTGTTGCAATCATTTATTTAGGGGTAGATGATTATTTTGTATATTTATGCTTTTAATTTTTATTTTTTTAAAATAATTGTATTTTTTAAAATCCTTCTCAATAAATACTTCATCCTGTGCCAAATATAAGACCTATTTTATACTGTAAATTATACTATAAAATTAGTCTTATATTTAAAATGGGTTTTATATTTAAGATTAGAAGAATATCTTTTTAGGTCCTCTCCCCTTAGAGCTCGGAATCAGGGCCGGTCCTTCAGGGCTGGCAGGCTTAAAAGGGCCGGCCCTCCAGAGCTGAAATTTTAAAAATACCTCAATTTGTTAGACCCGGCCCTTAAGCTACAGGGCCAAGGCCGGCCCGTAGGCTTTTGACTCGTTTTAAAAAAAATACTATTTTTTATATTTATCATTTTTTATAAAAATATAAAAATAAACCAATAAAATTATTAATAAAATTAAGTCACAAATATAAAATATCATCATATATAAATATTCATCAACATCTAAGAACATCTAAAACATTCATTAACAAGATAACATCTAAAAGTTTTATCTGTAATGCAATTGTGCAATAAATAAACACTATCATTAATCTTTTGAAACTTCATCATCACTATAATTAATTACTTTTCTTCATAAGTATGCTTTTCTTTTGTAACAAAAATATCAAGTTTTTCTTCTTTATAAGAATTTTATTTTTAAATTTTGCAATCTAACTATTATTTTACTTTAATGTGAGAAACATTATTGTTGAAACTCATGAATTTCTAATTCAAATTATAGAATCACAAGTTATATAAGTATAAAAATATTCTATTATCAAATATATATAGTTTAAAAATATCAACGTATATAATATAAATCAAATTATTATTAAAGTCCAAATTAACTCATTTTTTAAAAATTTAATTAGATAAATTATTGTCTAAAACTAAATTTAATTTTAAAATGATAATAATAACTAAATATTTGAAATATTATTAACAATGTAAAAAATTAATAATATTAATATTATATAAAAAATTTAAAAAATAAAAAAATTATAAAAGGACTTAAAAGTGCCGGCCCTTTTAAGCTCTCGGCCCTTCAAGGCTTATTTATCATTTTAAAAGAAAAATATCAAACCCTACCCTTATAATTTTAGGGTCTAAACAGACCGACTCGACGAGTTTGGTTCGTTTTCCCGGCTCCATCTCCCCTGTTGTTAAAAAATATTTCATATTAAAAATCATTTTTCATCATACAAATTCTGTCTAAACTCCAATAAATGGAGCCGCTTCGTAAAGACATCAACCGAAAAACCTGCGAAAACCCTCTCGTCCGGAGCAGGGATGGTGTACAGCACAGCTGCTCCAGGGGTAACCCAAAAGTCTCTACTATTTTATCGTGCCGTGAAATTCTCACGGGGACCCCTTTCACATTTCCGCCATCAGGGTCATCTTCCGGTAACTCCAATTGGAACGAATGCGGTTCGAAGCAACTCAGGCCACCTACACTATTATCCTCTGAACTGTAGCCATGCAGCAGTGTTTAGGGGCCTGCGTTCCTCTGGGGCGGGATTTAACCACGTAGGTTCCGATCATTTTCGGGTTTCGGCCGTGGCGGATGATGGTTCTGGTGGACATGGGGGTGCTGGAAGTGGGAATTCCGGCGGGAGTGGTGGAGGCAGCGGCGGCAGAAGCGATGGACCGGGCGGTGGAGGAGAAAAGTGGTCCTTGTTGTCATGGTAATATGGTGCTTTTCTAGTTATTTCTTCTGGGTTCTGCACGTTTATTGTTTCAATTTAATCTTTTAGTTGAACTTCTTCTCCATAAGAAAAAATTGTACCTTGTAACATAATTGCTATGCCACAATGAACAGACATCCAGAGAACGGACAAAAAGTGCAGTAGATTGTGTCTCCCTTTAGCTAGAAAACACTTTCCTTCTTTCTTTTCTGTCTTCGACTCTGTCTATTCCTCTCGTTCTCCACCTGCTTTTATCCAAGACTGAAAATTTCCGGTCTATTGTCTCTTAAATATTCTAGTATGCTGATTGACTCAGTCACTGAAATGCATATCATCTTTTGTTGTCACCGTGGTACTTGTTGTAGCTTAACATTCAGAGTGCCTTTTATTTCGTTCCGCTTATAAATACTCAGGTTCCAGCTAATACTAATTGTTATGTCACATCTTGCTTATAACATATCTGGTCTTGCTATTAATGTTCTGCTGTATATAAATTATACATCCTTACCTTTCAATTGATAATTCCATCACTGTGCACGACCTCCTATGGATTGGATGTCAAAAACAGGCCATGCCCTATTTCCGATCATATAGGTACCCGGGCACTTATTAAAGAAACAAAAAGAAGTTCCAGGAAGTTGCTAGAAAGTTGAAATATGAGGTTAACAAAATACTGATCAATCAAGTAGCACAATGCCAATCAATTATAATGATGCTTATGTTTTTGCTAAGATTGCAGTTTGATTTAAGATTCTAACTTTAAGGCAATGCTGCATAGCCCTTATACTTTCTTTGGGTGGGACCATGTAATGTGGCATGTAAGATTAATCTATTATTGAATTTACAGCTTTTTTTCAAGAGTTGTGCCTTCGGCCTAGTAGTCTGGGAATGCAAGAATTGGTTGCCTTGGTCATTTTTTCTTCACAAGCTATTTATATTCGCTCTTCTCGGTTTTGTAAACTTGTCCCAACTTACACTGCAGGTACATGGCTCTTCTTGGAAAATATCCTATTGCAGTCAAAGCTATAACATCTGCACTCTTGACATTAATTGGTGATTTGATTTGTCAGGTAATACTCATTTAGTTGTTATTGGTACATATTTTCTGTCCTCAACTGGATGTCAGAAGCATGTGCAGTTCATAAGAACAATTTTTGAGATGGGAAAACTATGAAAGCATGACAAAACAATTGAATATTTGCTTTCATATCTTTGCATTATGGCATGAATTATAAGTTGATTAATATGACACTTGGAGGAAGGGTCCTTGCAAGGTTCTCTTTGCTGATGCCTATCATATTGTTTCAAGTATGTTTGCAGTAGGGGTAAAGCTTTAGGGGATTCTCCATTAAAATTTGTTTGTTCTGTGTAGTTGTCAAGTCCATTCTTCCAAAAAAGTATTGCTCCATTGCATGCTTGTGCTTTTTTTTACATGTTTGGAATTTAATTTTTCCTGATTGGTCTTATTTTTTGCAGCTTGTGATAGATCAAGTTCCGTCACTGGATAGCAAGAGGACACTCCTCTTTACTCTATTGGGTTTTGTGTTAGTGGGTCCGACGTTGCATTTATGGTAATGCTTCTGCTCCTATGTGGGTATTATCAATTAGTGCGATGATATTTTTGTTATTAACGTATGGTCGCATTTATTCTGCATCAAATTACTGCGGGGCTCTTGTGAAGAAAATTATTATTCATTGATCCATCAGCTTCCCTGACACCTTTTTTTCCCTTATTATTTTGTGTTATGAATCTTTTAGGTACTTGTATCTGAGTAAACTAGTCACCATGCCCGGTGCATCAGGTGCATTTTTGCGGCTTTTACTGGATCAGGTGTGGTTTATTTGTTGGTGCCACTCTGTATCTATTGTGTTTTACTTTACTTGTCAGACATTTTAATCGTTAATGCAGTGAAATATGACTGCAGTTCTTATTTGCTCCCACATTCATTGGAGTATTTTTGGCTACGCTGGTAACTCTAGAAGGGAGGCCATCTCAAGTAATACCCAAGCTTCAACAGGTGGTGCTATAGTTCAAACTTGTATCTGCTTATAAAATGGTTTTCCAGATGGAATCCCCCTGTTTTAAAGAGTTCATGCTTATACACAAGTTCATTTTGTAGGAGTGGTTTTCTGCTGTTCTAGCAAACTGGCAACTATGGATACCTTTTCAGTTTCTCAACTTTAGATTCGTCCCACAACAATTCCAGGTTAGGCTATCAGACTAAATACATGAAGTGTGTTGATTTGACTTTAAGAATAATCTCTTTTTTAATCACTATGAAGAAGAATTTTAGATTTACAATTTGAAGGATGGAAGCTCCTAACTCATCTGAAAGTGGTTTCTATATTTGGTAACGAAAACCGGGGTCTTTTGAAAGAAGAATTTTCTACTGGCTTGCCTAGACGACTGTATGGAGGCTATCTATTTTCCTTCTATAACAGAGGGGAATAATACATAAGGAAAGCATTGTTTGTTACATTTCCTAATTCTTTGGTGATTCGCACCATCTGTTGTGTCTTTGGGGTGTAATCTTGTGGGGTTGTTTCTTGTTCAAGAAAGTACACAGACAAATTGAGATGTCAGTTGCCGTTTTCTAATAATACAAGGTGTTATCCTGGTTCTCAGTACGTATGCAGTTGTTTCATGTTCTGTTTATCCGATTATTGTCATCACTAGTAGGTTTCTCGTGGATCAACACGTGTACCCACCCACATGTTTGATGTATGTGGACTCATAAGAGAATTATCTCAAATTAAGTTCATATAGAAGAATTTAAATGTTCCAAGAACGAAGGCATCTTGGTCATTGTTGTTGCATTTGCAGAACGGTGTTGTAACCTCTGTCCCCATAAATGCTGTCTTTTTGACACGTGCTATTACGAGTCGACCATGTCTTGCACCTACTCTTTAAGTTCTTCCTTCTCCTCCGGATTGGATTCTCCATTTTTGAATTTAATGTAACTGTTGCGTGGATCAATTGCAGGTTCTTGCTGCTAATGTTATATCTTTGATATGGAATGTTATTCTTTCGTATAAGGCGCATAAAGAAGTTGTTCAGAAGTAGGCGTGCTTTATCTGCTGGAAATGCACACCTGATTCAACTAGCTTCATCATTGTGAAAGAAGTCTTCGGATTATCTAGAGCTGCCTTTTTACCTTGGAAATTCATCTTTAAGCCAGTTTAGGAGGCTGGAAGCAAGGATCTCTTCTTCCTCCTGTAACTGAATTCTAATTCGTTACTGGGATAACTGTTGGCTAATTGTAGAGTGCATTTTAACAAAGAATCCCCAGAGGAAGAGATTGAAATTAGGGAATTATGAAGTTTACATGATTTCTGCAGATTTTGGTTCAATCAGATGCCTGAGCTACAACGAACCCCTTCCTAGGGCCGCCCCTAGTGTGCCTGTGACATTCACCACTTAAAACGTGGAGAGGAGTGAGGTGTCTCAGACTGTTAGTTGTCTGTAACCTTGACCAAGATTGTACGGCAGCCAACTCGGGGCAGATAAAACGGGTGTTTCAACTTTCAACTTTCACTCGCTTCTTTTTTTTTAAAAAAAAATAAATAAATGAATAAAAATCGTGATAACTCCGGGCATGCTCTACTTCTGCAGAGAACCATGGGTGTGCGCATCGCAGAGAAGAAATATCTTGGTTTCAATTATAAAGCATCTCCTTAATTTTTTATTACTAATTTTTCCTTCTACGTCTCATTGACTGTTGGCATCTTGGCGTGCCTTATTTAATTTTTAAAGTGGATAAATTTAACATGGTTAAAATTAGATAAAATTAATAGATTTTAAGGATTGTTTTTACTTTTAATTTTACACACATTAAAATAATTATTATAGAAAAATAAAAAATTAAATCTGAATATTATTATACAGAAATAAATAGTTTAAATTTGATGAGATTAGCATCCGAACTCATTCCGGTGAAAAGGCGGAGGAGGAGTGGGGGCGATGAGGAAGTCGTGAAGGAAGCATGACGTGAGGGAAGGGTGGGGGGGCATAACCGTCAAAAGACACAGTAGAAAGTAGTGAAAGCTGAAGTAAGCAGACAAAAGGTGGGTTCAAGGGGAGGGGTATAGGTTTGACGAGGACCGGAGAAGTCAGAGGAGATGTCACTGGGGGTGGGGTCCACCGTCCACATGTGCAAAGCCATCCTATAAAGCTACCCGACACATACAACTACTCAGGTCAACCCGTAACGCGGTCGCTTTCCCTCGCCCGCCTCCCATTAATAGCCCTTCCCCCGCCCTTTCTTTTGTCTTCACCTTCATTTCTAAATTAGTTAAATTAATTATATTGTTATTATTATAAAAACTATTTTTAAAAAAAATAGATAGGTATAAAGTAGATAAATATTAAAAGTAAAATATATTAAAGTCTTATATTCCAAATCAAAATAAAAATTAAACTAGCTAAGGACCAAAAATAATAAAAAATAAACAGAAAAATATTAATCGTAGTTCGAGAAAACAGAAGAATGCATGTGGTGGGTAGAGATACATTTGTTTATTATCCTCTTCTTTTAAAATGAAAACATTATTTAAATTACTATTTAAGGTTACTCAATTAGTTTTAAATTATAAGCAAAATTATCCAATTATTTAATGGAATGTTTAAATTTTTTAAAAAGCAAGCAAAAAATTTCCAAATATTTATAAACATATTTTAAGTGAGTGAAGATGAAATTTATTTTACATATTTATCTTAAAGTAAGCTGTGAGTTCTTGAACATGGATGGAAGCGGAAGTTGGAGTGAACGGTCAAAAGACTAGGGTGGGTCCCATCAAAGCGCGTAAACCATGATTGCCCGGCGAAGGAACAATAAATAAGGAATCAACGAAACGGAGCTGCTCCCACAGATTACCAGCAGAGGTTCCACAAAGTGGTAAAAGCTCACAAGTTTGTAATTAACTAAGCAATTAGAAGTTCAATTTTTAATCATTATATACAACTGTCCTTTTAGCAGAAGGGAAAAAGGCCACAAAAAGGCAATGAATGAAGAGCAGCATGTGAGGATGAATAGACTGAAGAGAAGAGGGAAGAGAGTGTGAATGTGAAGAGACCGTTTCACAAAGCCAGAAGATAACACCACCTTTTGTCTTACGTTTATGTTTGATGTTGAATTTAGTTTTAAATATAAATAACTAATTTATCTTTTTTTATATTTATTTATTTTTTAAGATAATTTTTGAAGTACTTGTTTATCTTAGAAGTTTCTGTATGATAATTCTAGATTTTTTAGTTAATACAAATGATTTGTAAAAGTATTTTTTTAAAAATATTTATTTATTATAAATAATTAACTTGACTAATTTTTTAATTACTGAAATTAATTAATTAGTACTTATATTAAAAATTATGCTTCCAAGTACTCGCACCCAAGCCTTGACTTCTACCAAACGGCATGGCAACTCTTTTGCCCTTTTATATACTTTTTTTCTTCAGTTCATGGTGTAAATCACTTATAAGAAGATTTTTTTTTATAATATAAATCATTTATAGAATAACTTTTACTCTGTTAATACTTAAATATGAATTTATAATTTCAAAATTAGTTGAAGTGAAATGCCACTCCGGTACTTATTATAAGTTATTGGCAGAATTTTTTTCAATAAATATATTTAATAATTATTTTTATTTAAAAAATAGAGAAAGAATTTAGAGAGATAAAAATGACTAGTAAATGTAAATAGAAAAAATTTTAATAGAAAAGAGAGAATAGTATACTCCCTCCGTTTTTATTATAAGATTTAATTTTTTAAATAGGTTTTACTCTTTTTATGAGATTCTTTTTGAGTTTGTCTGAATATTTAATGTAGTATTACTTATTTTATCTCTAATTTAATGTATTTAATATATTTTTTTATTATTTATCTTACTATTACTTTATTATATTATCTATTTATATATAAAAATATATTTAAAAAATCATATTTATTATATATTAATTATTTTTAACTAATTTTAACTCTTCTGTTCAACTGTATGATTTAGTTAAAATAATTTGATATAAATAGACGGGGTAGTATAATTTTGGGAGTAATAAAGCCGCCGGTGGGGCACAGAGGGAGTCCGCACTGCCATCCCCATCCATCTACCCCTCACTCTCTTTTCAACTGCTTACGTTATTGCACTCGTCACTCTCCCCTCAGTCTCTTTCCCATCTCCGGTCTTCCTCCCTTTTGAACTCCTTTTTTTAATAAAGTTAATCATTTAATTTTTATAATATTGACTTCATCAATTATTACCCTCATTTAATCTGATCAAGTTATTTCATTTTATTATTTAATTGAAACTCAATTTCTTAAAAATTAGATAGTTTTTAAAAAATCATAATAACCAGCACATTATATAATTAAAATTTGCGGAACTGTGTGGCACACTCACGCCAACCTCAACAATTAACTAATGTGGCATATTTTACATAGAATTTAAAATAAATCACGTCTTTCCCTATAACTTTATATATTACCCCATACATTGTTCTCGATGATGTTACTAATACACGGACACAAAAATCACACACATATCTCAGCATCCTATTTGATTTGAATGAAGAGTTATTCTCATTTGTTTAGGGCCCGTTTAGAAGAACTTATAAGTAGTCTTTTAATCGTGATTTAAAAAATTCGAGATAAATATATAAGGGGAGTTTTGCCTCGACTTACATAAAACATATTTATAAGTGATTTCAATTGTGATAACAAACACAGCTTTAAAAATTAACATCCGCAATGCATACTTAATGTCCTTATTCAGGATTAAACAAATTTCGTTTTATTTCGGACAAAAAAAAAATAATTTCGTTTCTTATTAAAGAACAAAAGTGACACTCTGCCTTTTCATTTCTTTTATGTTGTCCTCTGTAGATATTTATTAAAAAAAAAAAAAAGAAGAAGAATTGTTAGGTGATCTCGTGGAGATAAATTACTAACACATGGGTATTCGTAATCTAGGGTCAATGTGCTTCCAGCGGACCTGGAAATGCGGTAAACGTGTTCTTCCGGGGAAGAGAAATAACCAGTTTCGTCCATTGCTTATTACTGAAATACAAATTTTAAAATAATAAATCTGAACTATGTAGATTAAATATAAATATAAATGGCCTTAGATTTCGATGCCCGTTACTTTAATTAATGTGTTGGAAAACCACTGGGGAATGGAGAAACCCCCCCCCCCCCCTCTGTGTTAATTAATTAAAGTCTTAAGTTTCGTTTGTTTTGTATTCTGGGTGGACTTGACGCTGCCAAATTATATAACTTTCACTTGTTTATATATTGCAGAATTATCGCTTTCGAGAGACATCTTCAGACCCCAAGTCAAATTATTCCCATACCTAACACAAAATTTATACACCATTTTCTTATTGTTAATCCCTCTGACTTAACGAGACTATGGTTGCCATTACGTTGGACATTAATACCAAGTTGCCTGACAATAAATTATTAACTTTTTTTACGTTCGTTCTGCTTTTTCATGCATCTTCAGTCACATTTCTATGCGACTTGACCACTGCTGTGTGTAATATAAAATAATATCGACGTGATCTTACTCTCCTGGATTTAATATTCGGCTTTCTTGTTAGAAAATTTTCAATTTTGGATGTAAAAGTCAAGAGAAGTTGTTCATGAAAAAACAGAGATGAAGTACCCTGCCATTTTCTATCCAACAAGAACGACAGAGAAAGAGAACCAGTCGAAACGAACAAGGAGTACTGGTTCCCGTATCACTCGCAATGGGACACAGAGCAAGGTACTGATAGCTACAAATTAAGAGAAATGGAAATATATTAGGGATTAAGTTTTAAACTAAAGGATATATATTGAATGATCTTAACATATTAAGCTATATTTTTGCAGAACATTATTTAATTTAGACCGTTTGTTGCAGAGGCCCACGTCTACACGGTTTCATAGATCTTCTGGTTACCATAACATCTCTATCACTTGCTATATGCCGGTGCCGAAGTTCTGTTCAACATTTGACCCAAAGAAAGGAAAAAAGAATGGCATGCGAGGCCTGAAAGGACAGAAGAATAAGAAAATGTGGCGGAGATCCACCATTGTTAATACATAAACTTGACATCCAAGGATTAGTTTAATCCGAAACAAAGATCCCAACAACCTCAGACACCCCACATCCCCAAGGACGAGGCTATTATAAAATCAACGAGTACTAGATTCATCGCCTTCCTATCCATCCTTCAGAAACAGAGGGCTAAGAACCCCCCCAACCCTGAACAGAAGCAGGGTCAAAAATCTGGAAGTCTCACATAACTTTCCACGATTCCAGAGTGGGAAAGTGTGTGGGAAAGTTCAGGTAAGCGTCGAACTCCAAGGCGGCAGAGTCAAGATGAGCGTCGACCACCCCAACGGGTGGCTCAAAAGTGAGTGGGGCCGGCCCAGAAGTCGAAGGTCCAGCCGCCAAGGCGGACCCCGCCGTTTCCTCCTTCTGTTGCTGATGATCCAGCAAGAAGGATGAAGTGTCCAGCGTCGGCAAGAACAGTTCGCCGCTCGGCAACCGGCTACGGGGTCTCTGTGGCTCCGGCTTTAGGATAGGCCCCATTGGCATCTGTGAGTTGTCCAGTCTCACTCCGGTCACCTGCTGCACCATTTGACGGAAGTTCACTGGGTCCGCCGCTATGAACGTCGTCTGAGCCCTCTTTGACGCGCGGGGCTTCCTCTTCGAAACCTTACCGTGGCAGAGAGGACAGTGCTTCTCTGGCGTTTGGGCGCCGTTTCCTGGTCCGAAACGGTGGAGGAGGGCGTAGTGTCTGGGTTGACGAGGTTCAGAAGCGGGGAAACAGTATCAGAGGTGGAACCGGAGAGGGATTTGTGGAGGGCTTTAGTGAGAACTTCATAGTCGCAAGCGAATGTCTCTGGGAACAAGGAATCTGTGAAGCTGGGTCGTATGGTCCATGGCTCGATGCTGGCCAAATTATCGGAAGAAGCCATTGCTGTGGACTTGTAGCTGGTTTGCTCAGTTAGGAGAAAGAGAATACAGAGATAAAGAATGGGATCAAATGGGAATGATGGACATCTTATGGAGAGAAGCTAGGACTGAAGAGAAGGGGAAAGAAGGAGAGGATGCAACGGGAGAGTGAGAAGTGCGAGGAGCTAAGCAAAGAGGAAGCGAAATGGGAAATATGAAAGGGGAACGAGATTAATAAATAGGGCGGTGATGGGGATGAAACCGCGTCGTCCGGGGAAACGAGCTGACACGCGTCATCTTGTCTGTACGGAAAGTGTGCTGAGCTGATTGTGAAGGCCGAGTAACCTAACCATGGTTCATTGCTTTAGCCTCTGCATGAAATTTTAGATAAATATATAAAAAGAGTTTTATTTCGTAAAACTGTATTTTTGAATGTTTTAAAAAATGAAACAAGTGGAGTCAAGCAGGCTGCCAGACTGCCAATACTTCAAAAACCAGACCCCAGACCCACGGTTGAATGGAGCATGGAATTTTTTGAAATATAATATTAATATTTTCTCGAGGATCACCTTCACAGTAGTCAACGGAATAAAATAAAAGCATTTTAATCTTAAAATTACTGCGACTGCGTATGCACGATGATTTACGCAGCTGTGGCTGTGAATCAAAATGCAAAGTAGAAATTAAACAACCAGTAGTCCAATATATATTTTAATAATTTTGTGTAGTCAAAGTTAAATTTAACATCCAATCTGAATGGCAGGAATCATGGCAATCGAAGGAAATAAAGCATAAGACATCTAATGCCTATTACACTCCTGTTATTCAACAATAACTCTTAACTCGTGTTAGTTTTTCCTCCTCCTCTTTTGTATTTAATTCATGTTCTGTCTTCCTACTGCGTAAAACTCTAACTATGCTTTCTTACTTTTAGTATCATTCTGCCTTTTCGCCAGGAAAAAAAATTTATAGTAGTAACCTGTGCTGTGTCTTTCGGTTCAACTCATTCATTGAAGCTCCTAAAGGATCCCAAATGGTACTAAGCAACAGTAAGTTCAATACCTTGGACCGTATTTAGCTTTGTTGGAGTTTTTTGATAAGGGCGTTCCAAAATTACAAAAAACTAATGGTTCCCAAAGGTTCCAACTGCCAACAAGGGTCATACTGGCGACTTTCAACTCCAGAAGCCTAGAAAATAACTTGCATCACCCGAAATGATTACATGTAGATGGGAGGTGGAGACCCGTCAAGATGGGCTGCCCTTCTGTCAGTTTTAAAACCATACCTGAGTAACCCACGCTATCCAAACCCAACAAGATCCTCATCATGTCGCACGAGAGCTGGGGAGAGGATTCAAACCCATGCTACAAAATAGAAAAAGTCTTACCATATTGTAACTTTACCAACCAATGTAGATAATGATGACAGCCATTCACAGCATCAAACATGCTAATGAGTTTCATTGTTTTCCTTTCTTACACACAACTATAGAAAGAAAATAGAAAACAACAATGACTATTGGCAAACTGCTATTTCAAATCCCAGGTGAGCAAAACTTAAATCAACAACAAATATAACTCCACATTTGAAAACCTAGAATTCTCCCAAATCTGCCCATCAAGTAGTGAGCTCCATAATGGCAGCAACAATGTCTCCATTGGCAGCTTTGAGGGCTTTAACAGCCCTTGGCCTTGACACTCCAGCTTGAGTCATCACTAACTCTATGTCCTTGGGATCTACACCAGTCTCGTCCACATCGTCCTCATCTTGAGCCATTGCTGAGGATTCAGGCTTTAGCCCTGCATTACTTAAGTTAGGAGCTTTGAATTGCTCTGCTGCCTGAGTTTGTAATTGTGAGCTCAGGTCTTCAATCTTAGCTTCTCCAAATATAATGTATGTATCAGAAGTTGGGCTCTTAAATACATCTGGTTTTGAGATGACGAACAGAATCTGAAACAGAAGTTGCCCGAAAGTTAGAGTGTATAACCAAAACAAGGAAAATTGAGACAGGGAGAGTACTAAAGATATTTAACTCTTACATTCTTGCTCTTTTTGACCGTCACACGGCTGACCCCTGTGACTGGTTTCATTCCAAGCTTTAACATTGCCTTGCGACTCTTTTTCTCGCTTCTGGTCTGCTTAGACCTACCACTTACATCACCTTCTTGTCCTGCATACAATATAAATTCAGGTGAGACAGTGGATTGGCAGAATCGCATCCATCACGCCTCAATATAGAACAGCATTAAATCAGTTATCCACAACTGAAGCTCACAATGAGCACTATTTTTTTATTCTTCCTGAACCCTGATGAATAACAGAATGCCAAGTAGATTTCAGCCAATTTATTCATAACACTAGCATGGTTTATGACAACTCAGAACTCTGGTTTCACACAGAATGACAGCGTGAGATACTATCATAAAGCCCAAAATCAATTACTTAAAAAGAGATAAAAATATGATAAAATTTCCTTTCAAATCTTCAATTTCATGCAATAAGTATTTAATTCAAAATATCCACAATCAATGCAAATTATCTCACTTTAATTGATAAATATCCCCAAAAAGATATCAAATAATATATTAAAATAGGGATTTATCACAGCGAAAATTGCAGCCAGCTTTGTTTAGAAGCTAGCAGTGATTCCAGTGTCAAAAGTTCTGACCAAAAGGTGAACCAAGTTGTAGGCTTCAACTAATTGCAGATTGTAAAGACACAATAATTCAGCAAGCAAAGACTCCGACCATGAAATAGATTATCCCAAATAAGAGAAACAGAATAAAACACTATTAATTATGAACAATAATTTGCGAGCACCTTACATCACAGAGATGTTAGGTTCAGAGATCTTAACTAAGCCTTTACAGGTGGAATAAGAAAAGTGTAGTATAGTTCAACTAATCTTAATGGCCAACTTACCATCAGCATTATCATCTCCTTCATCATCCTCATCATCCTCATCCTCGTCATCTTCATCCTCAACCACAGGTTCATCAGGCTGCAAAAGATTTTATTCGGGTTCAAGTACTCGATGATAACAAACTCAGTGTGGTACTAAATTTGGGGTTCAAAAGTACTTTAGCTCCCTTTATTGATTAAAACACAGTAGATAAGGTCGTGAGAAAAGCATCGGTTGTTGAGATCAACCATTATGAAAAGATAGTACCAATTCAGCAGTTCAACCATTATTTTTTGGACAGTCTTGCGTCTAAAAGCCCTAATCGTGAGCCACCTTAAATGTATGGACAAACCAGGGCAAGAAGATGTAAATCCTCATACTACTAATAAAAATCAAAATCGGTGCTCTCACTTTCTCGGGGATCGAGTTTACAGCAAGACATCTATCCATTAAAAGGCGAAATCAGAGCAAATAACACGAAAGCGGAGTGAGAGTCAGAGAAGGTAAATTACATTAATCTTCTGCTGTTCGAGGTGGGCCGCAAGAAGCTCCTCTTGAGTTTGGGCAGTCATAGCTTTGGGAAATGTCTGTGCTGTGTTGGTTCCGTCGACGTAGTCTGAACTCACCCACTGTACGGCAACTGGCCGATTTCTAACCCTAGCACCGCCGCCCTTTAAACGCACCTACTCGGGGAAATGGTAATAGTCCGGATTTCATACGGGTCAGACCCGACTTAAAAATTCTGGCCTTGGCTCCTCTCCAAAATTTGGTGGGTAGCCATAAGAGTTATAAATAATTTTATACATATTGAATTCAATGTAAGTTTATGTCTATGTTTCAGTGGGAAAATGACATAAAAAAAGTTAAACATTATAATATTTCCCATTTCCCCTACCATACCAAGCATGTTTTGAAACTCACTTCCACTCCCATTTCTACCTTCACTTCCACTCCCATTTCCATCAAAAACTATTCCATTGTACCAAATGGGGCATTAGTATTTTGCAAATGTAGTTAAATAATAAAAATGTCATCATATCAAAAAGTTTATTTACAAGTTATGAACTTATAATGACTAGTGTTGAATAGCAAATGACAAAAAATATATTAGCAATGACAAGTTATTTATTAAGAAGTTGTGAATTGGTAATAACAAGTGTTGAACAAACAATAACAAGAAATATACTGGCAATGACAACTTTGATATCTTTTTTTTATAGAAAATATGATATAAGGATATTTTAGTTATTTGATTATATTTGCAAAATATCAGATTAGGCACAACTTTCTC